CATAATTAGGGGGCCATGACTGAGGAGGCCTTCCCTCCTGGCCTCCAAAAGTGGCGATCAGAGAGGAACTCGGTGGAGATCGTACCAGTGAGTAGGCAGAGACTGGGAAAGGCTAGAGTCAGCACCTTGAACTGGGCTCAGAAACCTACAGGCAGGCAGTGCAAGCTGGCTGGAACTGGACTTAAACATGTGGACTGTCTCGTCCCGCTTACTAGTCTGGTTGCTGCATTTTGCAGTAGCTGCAGCTTCTGAACAATCTTCAAGGGCAGCCCCACGAAGAGTGCATTGCAGTGATCTAAAACAAAGCTTTCTTGAGCGCAGTCACTGTGGCCAGGCCACTGCTGTCTAGATAGGGGCACAGCTGGGCCCCCAGTGGCAGAGATGGATCAAAGAGAACCCCACCTTACGGACCTGCCCCTCCAAGGGGACGGCAGCCCCATCCAGGAGAGCTTGAACACCCTCCAGCGGTCCGAAGAACCAACCACGGACAGCATCTCTGTCATGCCTGATGAAGCTGAAGTCGCCCTACCCACTGCAACAAAAGAGGACACAGATTTGCATGCAATATGCATGTGCTAATGCTTATGGGAAGATGCAAGTCGAGGCATAACTAGGATCATTGAAAGGGAAGCAGAACACATCTCCCCACGGCAGGGAACGCTTTGATCCGCTGCCACTTAAGTTTGGTCCCCAGGTGCGAACTGCAGTGCCAGCCACCCGGCCTCTTCAAAGCAGCTCTTCTCACACTCCTGTCAGTCCTGCCCAAGCAGGTGGGTGCTGCAGTCAGAAACAGAGAGAGGGAAAGACTGACGTGGAGGGTGCCTTCAAAAAGGCTTGCCTCTGGAAAAGAGGGTTCTTGGCCTCCCTCATCTGCACCAATCCCTCTGCTGAGTGCCTGGGAGTGGCAGAGGTGAATTTCCCAGAGAGAAAAGCAAAAGGGAAAGGCGTGTGTGGACTGCAGAAGGAAGGCTCATCCATGCACGAGGATGCAGGGGCAGGAGGAGACGAACTTTGGAAGGGGAAGGTGGCAACAGTGTGGAAAGGGCTGTGACTAACCCCAGGTGCAGTTCAAAGACCCAGCAACAGTCCCTTGGGAAGGGCAGGAGAAAAACGTCCATCCCTCACCCACCTCTTCGCACCAGAAAATACTGTGCTGTGAAAATGCAATCACAAAGGCACACTGAATCTGGCAGCCCACTGGATGTCCTTCCGGTTGAGTCATTTTGCTGCACCACACCCAGACTCTTCCTCTGGACACTCAAACACAGAAACAGAGCGAGTCAGAAGGGGCCTCCCGGGCCATCCAGTCTGACTCCCGGCTCCAGCCAGCTCCACTCACAACATGCCCACCACGTGCATGTCCAGCCTGTCCTTGGAATTCCCTCATGGATGGGGCCTCAACGACCTCTCGTGGAAGCCCATTCCACACCCTCGGGGTCCTGACTGTCAGGAAGTGCTTCCTGGCACCCAAACGGAACCTGGGTTCCTTGAGCTTTGCTCCGTTGGAGCGCATCCTGCCTTCCTCTGCAGGGGAGAACAGGTCTCTACCCACCTCCGTGTGACACCCCCTCACATACCTGTATGTCGCCAACAAATTCCCCCTGAGTCTCCTCTTCTCCAGGCTGAAGAGACCCAGTTCCCTCAGCCTCGCCTCATACGCCTTTCCCTGAAATCCGGCCACCATCCTTGTGGCCCTGTGCTGCACCGATTCCAGCTATATCCTTCCCGTAATGTGGAGCCCAGAATGCGTTTCACAGAACTGGGTTGCCTGAATCATTTGCCCCAAGCAATAGTGGCACTGGGGTTCAACGTCAGAAGCCCTCCCAACTTGGACTGGCCGGCTGATGGTTGGGATTGAGACGGAGAATTCCAGCAACAGACAAGGTTGGAGCGTTTTTCTTGCGGGTGGATCCCAAACAGAGCAGCTGGCATGAACAGACATGCAGCAAACAAATGAGATGGAGATAACAAGCAAGATGGTAAGGAAGCCATTATCAGAAAGAAAGACTGACAAACTCGTGCTCTCCGCCAGAAGTCCCGCTGCGACCCATGCATCCTGTTCTCAGATGCAGAGAACTGAAGCTTAACCCATTTCTAATTCTCCACAGATTTTGATATTTCGACTTGAACTTTCCCAACTATACCTCTCTAGTTTGGCTTTTCCCGCCCTCTAGTTTTGGTTTGCTGCATGGTACTTCTAAGGGCCTTCCGCGCTGGACTCTGGGATCGGACCCAAGCACTGGGGTTCTGGGATTTCACTGGCTTTCCCACCATTTCTGAGATAACGGCAGGCTAAATCTCCAAGTCATGGAAAATGTGGATTGCCATCTGGCACGTATATCCTGAGAGTTGAGCCTATGAGGCTAAACAAAGGAAAGGGGCCAGGAATTCTTTCCAAGGCACATCAATCTCTGATCCGATTCCGCAACGCTGTGCGGAACCCTCATCACTCCCGGCCAGCAGCCTGACAGACCTGGAGGGCAGCACACGCTGGCAAAGGCGGATCCGAGGTCTGTACGGGACAAAGTCAACACTCCACACTGCTGAGCCTGGGTCTGGCAAAAATGCTTCAAGGCCCAGAAAAGTGATCCGAGCTGTAGCTACGAAAAAGCCAGTCTCTCTGCCTGGCGCGAGCACTTGGAAGACTTCTTATTGCTTGCCAATGGGAATTTCTCATCCAAAAATTCCGTTTATTAAATGCGACAACTGATATATAGATGTACCACGTACATGCACAGAAAATTGTGCCATGGAGAATTTGTTTTGCTGCTGAAAGAGACGGATGCGTAATAGGACTTCTCTATTCCCCGTCTCCTATATTGAACATTTAAACATGCGTCAAGTCGGTGCATAAAACAAAAAGTATTTGGAAAGTCTACTGAGATGAAGAAACGAAAGAGGGAGGAGTAAGATCAAGGGCTGGATGCCTTTTCAGAAGCAGTGATTTCTCAGACTCTTTGGAAGAGTGTGGAGGCAACAGGGAAGAAAAATAAATTGGACACTGAGTTTAAGTGTGGCTTCTAGATCGAGAGAGGTATTGCTACCACTCTATACGACTCTGGTGCGCCTGCAACTGGAGTATTGTGCTCAGTTTTGGGCCCCTCATTACAAAAAAGGATATAGCCAGGTTGGAGTCAGTGCAGCGCAGGGCCACAAGGTTGGTGGCCGGTTTGCAGGGGATGCCGTATGGGGTGAGACTGAGGAAACTGGGTCTCTTCAGCCTGGAGAAGAGGAGACTCAGGGGGGATCTGTTGGCGACATACAGGTATGTGAGGGGGTGTCACACAGAGGTGGGCAGAGACCTGTTCTCCCCTGCAGAGGAAGGCAGGACGCGCTCCAATGGAGCAAAGCTCAGGGAACCCAGGTTCAATTTGGATGCCAGGAAGCAGGTCCTGACAGTGAGGACCCTGAGGGTGTGGAATGGGCTTCCACAAGAGGTCATTGAGGCCCCATCGGTGAGGGTGCTCAAAGTTAGGCTGGACATACACATAGTGGGCATGTCGTGAGCGGAGCTGGCTGGAGCCGGGGGTCAGACTAGATGGCCCGGGAGGTCCCTTCTGACTAGCTCTGTTTCTATGTTGATGAAGAATTGACTTTTTAAAACAATTAAGGAAAGACTTTCAAGTGGATTTGAAAACAGTTTTATCAATTAAAGGGACATTGGCAGAAGTTAGCATAAATACTGAAGGAATTGAAAAAAAAAGTGAGCAAAGCCTTTGACTTGGCTTCCGATCGAGAGGCTAGAGTTTGTGATATGCAGAGAGAAAGAGAGTAACTAAGAGACGGGTTGGAGGAACAAGAGAGCAGGGACTGCTGTCACAGGATACGTCTGATTACAGAGGTGGAAGGAGAGAGCATTTAAGATAAAGTGACAAAACAGATCTGAGAACATTTTCTGGAATTACATTTTAGAGAATTTGGGATTTAGAAAGAATAAACAAATGCATGGATCTTAAACAAATGCATCAGAGAGATAGTCTTGTCAATGTTGCTTGGTATACAGTAAAACTAGCAACCTGTCATACACAGAATAATGGAAAATTTGCATTATGATGGTGATAAAGATGAAGCTTTCTAGGACTTGGCAATTGTACCTAGTAAAAGATGTGTGGCTCTCAGGAGACAAGGAGTTAAATACTTGTAGGGATCCAAGCTGATTATCTGGATCCAGCAAAAATGGTTAACTATGGAGCAAATGCTGGGTTTTTGCAAGATTTTTGCATCAGAATCTGAATAAATGAAGAAAAGCCTCAAGATAATAAAAGGGAACAACAAGGGAGGAAAGCGGAAGGGGGCAGATATTGAAGATACCGGAAAATGGATTCCAAGGCTTCTCTGTGCGTTTCAGGGACGCTGTTCTGGCGTATCTCTAGGGGAGATGAATAATTAGACCTTGCAAATGCAGCCGGTGCTGGAGTGTGTTTTAATGGGAAGGAATGGTCGATAACTGAATTGTTGACTTGCGTTTTCCGCTGTTGGAGAAGATCCACAATGGGGTGGAAGGCTTGGAAGAAGGCGGGATTCAGGTTCTGGAGCTAGTGCAGAGTCAGCAATGGGAAGGAAGGGCTGGCATGCAATTATTTTTGCATGGTTGCAATACCGTCAGTTACCATTCTTTAATAATCCACATTTCAATAAACTGCATAATTGGCCTGAGAAGGTTCAGAGGACTGGCTGTAAATCAAATGGAAGATATGTTAGATACTATCAGCATAATTTGCTTTAATATGAATGGTCTGGGATCGCCAGCTAAATGACATAGAATCAGGTCCTGAAGCATTGTTGTTACAGGAGACCCATCACAAGAAACAGGTACAGCATATTAGAAATCATCCATCCTTCGCAGAACAACACACCACCCGCGAAACATCAAAATCAAAGGGGACAGCCATCATCTTTACGAAACACTAGATGTGACACTGTGAATCAATAAAGTGACCCAGGTGGTAGGTCTATGGAAACGGTAAAGTGGGAGAAGGGTGGTTAACAGTTGGCTCATTATGATCCCGTTACAGCTCAAGCTGAATATAGGCAAGACAGTTCGGTTCAAGTGAGGCAATTTGCTTGGGGAAAACCTTAGCACGGAATACCAACTACGTTCGGAATGTAAAAATAGATACAACATAAAGACTATCTATAGATGGAGCAAGAATTTGGAGATGACTGAAAAAGAAGGTTTACCCAATGGATTAGAATCACTCATATTTAAACTCCATAAGGAAAGAAATCTTTTTCCAAAGAAATATTCAACCTATTCATGTACAGACTGAATTTATCTCAGAAGCAACTGCATTGCTATTGTCCAGCATAGACTTCAACCTATTTTGGTATCTGATCATGCTCCAAGAGAAGGGAAATGGACTACTAATCATAATCTGATAACTAAATCTATGATTTGAAGGTAAAACACACATTTGTTCATTAATCCATATATTGTAGAAAATGTTAATATTATTTTCAATCAAAGCCATGAGAGTCATGGAATCAAGATAGCATTCTTATGAGATACTATTAAAGCATATTTAAGAAGGAAATTTATTATGGAAGGATCAAGATTAAAGAAATAAATCATTTATGAGAAAAATATATGGTAAAATGATGCTCCTGATGGAGTACCTCTCTCTCTCTCACACACACAGATTGACTGTCAAAAACCTACTGAATTGACACAAGTTAAAGCAGAAGTTAGAGGCTTTAGACACAAGTAAGAGCCAAACCACAGGATTTATTTAAAATGGAATTACTATGAGCATGGAAATAAAAATTACAAGTTGTTAACTCATGCAGTTAAAAAAAGCTGCTAAAGAGACAATTGGTTGTATTAAAAAAAAGATGTTGACTGGTAGTTTCACAACAAAACACATCTAAAACATTTTAAGACCATTAGGCAAAACTGTGTAAATCAGAAGAGGCACCAAAGGCAGATAGCAAGAATCATTTTAGACTCATTATCAATATTCCAGCTTCAGAAGAACATAAACATCTTAACTCTCCAATAATGTCTATGGAAATAAAGGTTGCAATTTAAACTTTTAAAAAAGGAAGAACTGCAGGATCTGATGGTTTTGCAGCTGATTTCTAACGATGTGAAAAAGGTGGTGACTTTCTGCAAAAGCAGGGCTAATAACATCTCCATAAGGTTTTCCTTGTTGATTTTTTAATGGGGAGCCATTTATAGATTCTGCAAATGATGCTATAAACTCTCCTTTGACCTACCTTTTCTTTACTTACAGATGGAAACGGCCAGGAGACAATTCCCCTAATACAACTTCGGACAATTCTTAGTAATCTGTGGAAACAATGAGAGTCCAACTCAAGGGAGATGCTGTCTGCACGCTTTTCCTGGTGGTGGCTCTTTTTACCATGCTGTATTCTCAGCTGGGCCACACTTCCCGCAGGGGAAAAAATGTGGAAGGCCAGAAGATGTGGAAGGCCCTTCGGGGACAGTCAAGCATGCAGGCGACTGCAGCAGAACCCAGAAGGAAGTCTACGGTGAAACACATGAGAGTGATGAGCCAAGAAGAGGAAGCCACCACCTCTCCACCCATGACGCCTTCTACGTTTGACTTCAAGGGTTACCTTAGAAACAAAGACAACAGGAAGTTTGACCTTCTCATTAATCAGCCAAAGAAATGCAAGAGAACCCCAGGGGGGCCCTTCCTGCTTATTGCCATCAAATCGTTGGTAGAAGACTTTGACCGCCGGGAAATAGTACGGAAAACATGGGGCAAAGAAGGACTAGTAAATGGGGCACAGGTGCAAAGAATATTCCTTCTGGGAACCCCAAAGAACAAGACAGTGTTGCCCATGTGGGAGTCCCTTATTCATCAGGAAAGCCAGATGTATCGGGACATCCTCTTGTGGGACTTCCTTGATACGTTCTTCAACCTGACCTTGAAAGAGATACATTTTCTAAGCTGGGCTGATGAATTCTGCTCCAGTACCAAGTTCATTTTCAAAGGTGATGCAGATGTTTTTGTCAACGTGGAAAACATTGTCAACTTCCTGAACAGCTATGATCCTTCAGAGGACCTCTTTGTGGGAGACATTATCTACAACGCCCAGCCAATCCGAACCCGCAAGAGCAAGTACTACATCCCAGAGACAATGTACGGGCTGGGCATGTACCCAACGTACGCCGGAGGCGGCGGCTTCTTATTTTCGAGCAGTACCATGAAGAAACTCTCTCAGGCATGCAAACAGGTGGAACTCTTCCCCATTGATGATGTTTTTCTAGGCATGTGCCTGCAAAGAATCAACCTGAAGCCCATTTTACACGAAGGGTTCAAGACTTTTGGAATAACTAAGCCTTCAGCAGCCCCAAACCTACAGACTTTTGATCCCTGTTTTTATAAAGACCTCATGATAGTCCACAGTCTGAAGGTCTCTGAAATCTGGCTCATGTGGAACCTGCTGCACAGTCCACGGCTCTTGTGCACCCAAAAGAAGCAAGTGAAGAAGGCTTTCAAGTGGAAAATGGTCTCGAAAGAAGCCACGAAGGGTCATGGTGCCTAGGGGTGGGTTTCCACCTGCATGTCCATTCAGCAATAATTTGCACAGGTGCATGAAGCAGATGGATCTAACATCACGAATGGGGCTTATGTATCTCCAAATGGCACGTGAACGCAACCATCTTCACGTAGGCATTAGAAGTGATGGACACGCTTGTCTGAACCAGTGCCAAGGACCACAGTCATGCGTAGATGGGGAAAGCTATCTAGGTTAGATCCAGCATCGCTGCTGTTCACTGGCGAGTTGCCAACTGCTAAGTCTGTCTGCGAAGGAGCTGCCACCATGAGTGGAGTATGAAGTGGGCATGCCTTCTCTGCAGTGGCCCCCAGACTGTGGAATGACCTTCCTAAGGAGAGCCACCAGGCGTCTTCTTTGCATACACTCAGATGCCAGGTTAAGAACGTCTTCTGCTTGCACTTACTCTGTTGCTCTATTAGATCGCTGTCCCCCTGAGACTTGTAACATTTCATATTTTAATATGCTGTTGTTTCACTTTTGCATTTTTGTTATGCTGTTATTCTAATTAGCTTGTTTTTATTGCGAACTGCCCCGAGGGTAGCTGCAGCTTGGGTGGGATACAAACCGTATTAACAAACCGCTGTAGAGAACAGCATAGCATAGATAAGAAAAAAGCTTAACAGCATAGCGAGAAATCAGATTAGAAGATATCAATAATTTACCCCAGTAGAGCACGCTTGGATCAACAAGGCTGCCAGTGAAAAGGATCTTGGAACCGTCCTAGATCACAGCTAGAATATGAGTCAGCTATGTGACGTGGCTGCAAAAAAGGTAAATGCTGCAATAGGCAGCACGAACAAGAGCATCGCTTTCAGATCATGTGAGGTGCTGGTTCTGATTGGATCTAGTCAGGCCCCATCTTGAGTGCTCTGTCCAGTTCTGCATACCACACTTCAGGAAAGATGCAGGCAAGCTGGGAAGGATTCAGAGGAGGGCAACAAGGATGATTCAGGGGCTGGCACATGGCACTGTGAAGAGAGTGAAAGAACTGGGCATGTTTAGCCATGAGAAGAGAAGACTAGGATAAAACCCTTCAAGTACTTGAAAGGTGTGAAGCAGGCCAGGATCTCCCTCGTCTCAAGCAGCCCAGAGTGGCGGACACAGAATAATGGGCTCAAGTTACAGGAAGCCAGGTTCGAAACTTGCAAAGGATCGTGCTCATGAAGAAATGTCTTGAACCGGTTTGGTATTGATGGGTGGATCTGCCAGGTTTGCTTTGATGCACTGCCTCCATTTGCCACTTCCAAGTCCGATTCGTGCAGCTTTACGAAACAAAACCGGTTGGGTTTTTTGTGTATTAATGCCCCTTTTTCTGTGCATTTTTCAGATTGGACACGGTTTGATATGCACCCACCCTCTGACTAAAGCACAGCCAGGCAAATTTTCAAAATGTGTGCATTGTCTTTGTGCACTTTACCAATGTGTACCCTTCAGTAGTTGCAGTTTTGGTTCCATGGAATGCACCAGGTCCAAAAACGCACAAGTCCCCGGATACAAAATCCATCTGGTCTGCATGTTTCCAGTTTACATAAACTGGAAAAAATCATTAAAATGATCTGATGGAGCAAATTTCTCACACATCTCTGGCTGTCAGAATGTGGAATTAAAGAGCGTGCATTGAACTGTGTACTTTCACTTATAGTCTAGCATAAAAGGCAAACTGCCAAGCAAGATTCCAAGGACTTTCCGTAGACTTCAAATTGGCAAGAGTTTGGAAGAGGGCACTGCTAGCACTGGCTGTCAAAGGCAGTGTGAAGCCATGCCAGGTTCTCTCGTTTAACCATTTTTCTTTCTGGTAAGAAGATGCAAACAGCATCTTTCAATCCAAGATGATACCATCTTGACCATCCCTGCCTCCCCACACCCCCAGCATGCAAATTCTGTGAGCTGTGCATGGCAATGGCATAACGAAAGCCTCGCATGGGAGCAGCACTCTGGAGCAAAGATGCAGCTGGGAAAAGCTCAGGCGGCACCACCTTTGAGCCTGCAGGACTGGGCTGCACAGGACTGAGATTCCAGATCCATCACAGACCCCCAGAAGCCGCTCCTCCAGCGATGACTCACTGGAATCTTCCAGCTTTTATTCAGTTCTGCAGTATAACCCAAATGCTTTTCACTGTCTCCGGAGAAAAGAGATCAAAACCAAAACACCCAACCAAAATCCAAACAAACCCGTCCAACCTTTCAAGTATAGTACTTCAACCAAAAGAAAGCACTGGTACTGCTCTGGGGTTTACATTCTAAAAGACAAGATGCACATGGGGGAAAAGAGGCCATGGAGAAAGCTTATATGCTAAGCTTGTATGCTAAGCAGTGCCATACATGATGACCCAGGAGTGGGCCTATTATGCCCAATGCAACTTGCCCCCAGGTTAAGGGCTTGTAAACTGTGGGTGGCAGGGAGAAGAGGTAAGCTTTCAAGCTGCCATTTAGCACAGCCTTGGCTGGGGAATGAGACAGAGGACCTTCTCCTGCCTAAACGTGTGTCAGTCTGAACCCGCAGGTGCACACCGTCCTCTGGATAACGCCTAGTTTTTCTTGGTTTCCTTTAGAATTTTCAAAGAAACAAAAATTCATTCACTGTCATAAGCATTTAGCAAAAGGAAAAGGTGCAAACATAAGCTTTTACATTCACATCTGAAAAAGATAAATCCCCAGACTTGATCCTTGGAATTCTGAACTCACGGCAAAAGGCTGAATTTTCACGGCGAGGGAAGGAGGAGCGGTTAGTGGGGAAAAACAGCAGGAGCGAAGCTGATAATGTAACTTATTTCACTGCATAAAGAAATCTGTTTCAAATTAAGAGGAAATGTGGATTCTGGCAGAATATTTTCATGCTATGCTGTTGCTAAGATTCTCTCTGATGACAGTGGAATAGAATACAGGCAACATCAAGGAAACAAAAAAATGTGACTCACCTGTGGAACTGGGAGGGAAAAATCACACATGGATGGATATGCCCCTGGCCAGGTGTTGCTCCGCTTTGCTTTTCAGAGCACGTGCAAATATTTTTCGTGAATTTCTGTCCTACTCACGAAAACGTTGAGTGAATATTGTTCACAGCTCTGTGTGCTTGCAGGTGCTTTGATTTGCAGTTTTACTCTTAAGCATGCCTATGCGCACTGTGCTGGGAACCGAGTCCCCTTGGTGGCCAACCCATTTTGCAGAAATGAAATCGAAGTGGATTTCCTGTCCACAAACAGGAGGGGTAGCAAAGCCAGTGGAAGGGCACTGGTCAATTTGCTAACACTAGTCAGTTTGGGATTTATGGATTGCTATGCGTTTGTCACATGCAGTGTATTGTTACTTACTATAAGGAGTCCATCCTGAAAAAATGGGGCTATGAGGGACGTAAAACTTAACAAGCAGCAGGAAAGGTTTGGGGGTCTTTTTGTCTGAGACTGAGTCTGCAGCCAGGGACTGTCTTCTCTCTCAGAGCACATTTGGGAATTTGAGAAACTGCTGTCGGCACCACCACAAACTTCCTAATTCTTGCTTTGGTGTCCACCTGGCACACCTAAGGATCTTAGGTGATGTCTTATCCAGTGAACAGAAGGGTTGTGTCTATGTGATGCTGCAATGCTTTTTTAATAAGGGATTATCTAATCCGGGTAGTAGCTGGTGATGCATATATTTTGGCAAGGTCCAGTAGTTGTTTCTTTGGGGAGGAGATTATTCCACAGATAAATGTTGTACTGGAACAGTCTTTAAGCACTGATGGACTCCCTCTTTAAAATTATTCACTCAATGGAAATTAATAAATGATCAGCATAAATGGATCCCATGCCCATTTAACAGTCCTTGTTATGTGGCATCAAGTTGTCTTTGACCTTCCATCCAGCTCTACCAAGTTCCAGGCTATGACTTCCGTTATGGCTTCAATTCATCTCTTAGTCTTTCATGCAGTCTTCTGCCTTTGACTTTCCCCAGCACGACTGTCTTCTCCAGGGAGTTTTGTCTTCTCATGATGAGAGCCTCAGTTCTGCCATTTTTGCCTCAAGAGAAAACTCTGGCTTGATTTGATCTACGTAGCACCCACTTGTCAGTCGTTCTATCAGTCCAGGGTATTCACAAAGCTTTCCTCCAGCACCATGTTTTGAACACATCAGTTTTCTTACTGTCAGCTTCCTTAACTCTCCAGTTTTCACTCTCATACATTATGATTGGGAATACAGTGGTCTGGATTATCTTGGATTATCTTGACCGCGGTCTCCAGGATAACATACCTTTAATGATCTTTTCTAGTTAGTTCATTGCCGTCCTTCCAAGTCTAAGCCTCCTTTGAATTTCTTGGCTACAGTCTCCCTTTGAATTGATGACCAAGCCAAGGTATTCAAAATCTTTCACAATTTAGATGTCTTCATTATTAACAGTGATCATCTGTTAATTCTTCTGTGCATGTGATTTCTGTTTTCCTGATGTAGTCCTGCATTTGTACTCTTCCATTTTTAGCAAGGGTCCTTGCAATTCATTGCTGCTTTCATCCCCCAATTTTCGCGACTCCTTCTCCTGATGCTAATCCAGCTTTCCTCGTGATTTGTTCTGCCTACCGACCAAACGCACAGGTAGATAAAATGCATCCTTGTCTGAAATCTTCACCTATAGGAAACCGTTCTGTTTGTCTGTATCCTGTCCCAAGGGTAGCTTCTTGCTCATGATACGGGACAGTCAGGTGCTGAGCTACCCCCATTTCTTTCAAGACCGTCTGGACCTTCTCATGATCTACACAGCCAAGGGCGTTGCTGTAGTCCATAAAACAGAGGTCGATCTTTTTCTGAAATTGAGTGGTGGGCTCCAGCAGCCCACGTATTTTTGCAATATGATCTCTACTGCCTCTTCTTCTTGACAGTCAAGACGGATATAAAACACCGGAAGGATAAACATCTCCCATAATGCAAAGGACTGAGAACCCTGTCGTGCTTTCAGTGTTTGAAAGGGTGGGTTATCGCTGGCACCTTTAAATGGGTATTTATTTGGATATTTGCCCCACTACTGATCAAGCTGGAGCTGATGTACGTAAGGTAGGCAGCTGTATGCATTTCAGATCTATTCCTTGCTATGCATATATACAAATCTATGCCCATATAGTAAAATGAATGGGAAAAAGGGGGACCCCATTGCAGACATCCCTGGGGTTTCACCAGCTGTTCTCACTTTTGGGGAGAATTGTGTGACGAATTACTTTTATACACGCTATGCTGGGCGGCTTAACAATTAGGGCTGCTACCTCAGGGATGCTGGCGCAGAATGCAGCCAAAGTTAAAAACTGGGTGATGGATGCGTTCTATGAATGAATGAAGGAGGGCGCTGCTTTGGGCTGAAAAAAGCAACCTATATATATAAAAGGGAATCTTTCAATTAGTTTCACAGAATAAATCAGAAGGTAGAATACAGTTGTGTGCCTTTCCCCCTCATACTGTAAACTAGTCATGCTTTCTTTGACATTTTGTTTCTTCTTCTTGGTTGCTGTGCTTGGCAAATGTTGCTTTCTTCTTATTTCTGCAAGCTGATTTTTTTCTCAGAGTGCCCCACTCCATTTGCGGGTTTCTAGGCTCACAGGCTGGGGAGGGCCACTAAAGAGGGGTTCCCCTCCTTCGTCACACCCCACACGCTCTGTGGTTTGCTCAGAGACTGGCCCGCAGCAATGCCTCCTGGGGATTCCCTTGCTGGGCGAGCACCTCCTCTGAAGCGCAGGCTGAACTTGGGGGCCACTCACAGTGGGGCAGTAATGTGGGGATGCGATGGAGCGCTGAAGAAGCCACTTTGAGTTCTTTGTGAGAAAAAGGAGGGATATAAATCTAATAAATAAATACTGCACTTCCGCAACAGTTGTACTGGGGGACACATCCGAAGATTACCAGATGTAGGTGGGCATGAGCAGGCAAGCGCATCTTCAGAGAAAGGCAGTGCACAGAATACAATAAAAGACCAACCTGGGGAAGCAAATCAAAGACTCACCATTCTTTGCAAAATACACACACCCAGCAACTGCATATTGAAACACAGCAACTGAGTTGCATTTTATTTGTCCTTTCGATGTACATGCTAATTAGGTACTTCATATAATTTACAGAAGGATTATGGAAAGCAGAATTCCTATGAGAAAGAAAAAGAGAATCAGGGAATTTTCTCAGCAAGCGATGATCTTTTCTGTGAGGCTTCCTTTCTTTCTCCTTCAGTGAACAGGACAGAATGTCACAGATTATAGGAAGACGAGATGGGCAAAAGGAAACCACAGGTACTCACATGAACACACAACAAAATACACCCACGCCACACACCATATTTTACCCTGCTACTGGTCCAGGATTCAAAACTTTTAGTTCCTGTTCTAAAGTTCCTACTCCTCATTCGTTGATAAGCTATACAAGATTACACTGTACATGGAGTTAAAATTACAAAAAAGTTTTGTATTTACAAAATCTGTACACACATTTGCAAAACTCACAAAAATCATCTATCGTATATATCACAAGTTGCTACACCAAAATATTAAAAATGGGAAAAAGTATACATTTCTCTTTTTTTCCTTTCCATTGTTTTAAAAAGGGTTAATATTTCAAAGATGACTGAGACGGACGGACAGATCACTTTTCTGACAAGAAGCCTGGCAAGGAAACTGTGCACCGAGCGATTTCCTCTTTGGGGTAACAGCCGGCAGCAGAATCTTTTTAATCTGAAGAAGCTGAACTCCCGTCCGCTGGGAATGGAGGGACAGGGGATGCAGTGTATGTACAGAGATGGTGAAATTAGATTAAGGATCTCTTTGGCTAACCATTTGGCATTAAATTAAAGGAGAGAGAGAGAGAGAGAGAGAGAGGAGGGGTGGGGAGAAGGGGTCATTCCTTCCCCACTCCCATGTGCTACATATACAACACTCCAGAGTGCCAACTGCCAGGCCCACATTCCACAGACGTCTCCTGGGACGTTTCTCTCACATTAAGGCCGTGCAACTTCCGTTTCCTTCTAATGCAACTTAGGTGGAAGCGTTTCCCAGTGGCTGGACCCCTTCTCTACTGGACAGGAAGCGCAACAAAATTCTAATGGGATGCATTTCACACAGTTGCAAGAGAAGACCGCTGTCTTTACTCTTACAGGGTCAAATGCTTTCTCTGTTTTCAATAGAAAGAAATGGTACCAAAAACCTTAAGAAAAATGTAATTCATCGGAAGAATCTACTTGACTTCTTTTTTCCTTCTCAAAATTATATATATATCAACTTAATTAACCAGGCATGGCAGAAAATAAGTTGTTTCAGCATGTCAAGTAAATATTAGTGCAGAAAAAGGGGGAGCTTCTCCCCTTGTATAAATAAGTTTTATGTGTGGCAAACAATTAAATAAACCATTGCACCCCACTCACACCCAGTACACAGATGCTCCTCGGTGAAGATTAAAATGTCTTATCAAGTAATTAAAGTGTATGTAGTGCAAAAATGTTACCACCGAGTCTTATGCACATGCTGCTTTTGCACTTTTTCCAATGTTAGACAATATGTGCTGCCTGAAATCATGGACACGTATATACATACTTCTCACATTTGGAACGATGTCCTTAAGCCACAGAAATACCCATGTACCGCATTTTATATATACACCTATATATAAGTTCTGCATGTGCATACCCACGCCCGCGCTGCTGTCCCTAAAAAAAACGACCGCCATCGGCAGGACAGTTAACATGAACGCAGACCCGGGGGGAGGGGGGCGCCAATACCTGCTTCCAGATGCTTCCAGGCTCAGGGAGTTTGTGCTTCTACGTCGTGCAGTCATGCGTGTGCTTTCTCTTCTTCAGCTCATCCTTCTTCCAGTTCAGGAAGGGACCAGTCTGTGTCTATCCACACGGCAGAGGGAAGGGCAAGCAAGGCAAGAGGAGGAGCAGGAATGGCCACAGGCACTGTGCCCTGCCCCTACGCCGTGGTTCTACGTCCTGTGCCGAGCCATCCGGAGGGTTTCTTTTTCCATCCTGCCCCACGCACCGGCGGCGAGAGACAGTTTCCCGAACACATGCACACGCCATCCCGTGCTTTTCCCTATGACAAGTGGCAGCAAATCAAGGCACGCTGTACTAATTCTGTAGCACTTCAATCGGCTGATATTGCTCACTGGGGAAGATCGGACGTTTTGAGTTGGTTGCTGGGTCTTGCTGGGCCATACAGAGTAACGGACGCTATGTGGTTATTCTGCATCACCTGGACAAGGAGGCAGAAGGGAGACAAGTTCAGCGCCTTCAGGAAGGTGCCCAGGCGCATTACCGGCGAGAGCGCACCGGAGTCACCTGTGAAACGAACTGCTGCCTGAGCAATCGAGGCACAGGGCAGCAAAAGCTCTGCAGGGTAATCTCACTGATCTACACTTATTTTTAATCACCAGGATGCTTGCTCCCTGTTTAGTGGATTATTAAGGCCACTCTTTTTTAGCAATAGCAGCCAGAAATGAGATTTGGGAGCAGAGCTGGCTGCAAGACTGCCGTGGGTCTGCTGGGAGGGGTCCAGCACGCCGTCGTCAACCTTGGCACTGAAAGGGCGGGGGGCAAGCAAGCGAAGCGCGTCAGGAAGGCATTCCCGCAGCCCCTCGCTCCTCCTTCCAGCTTAAGAGAGTTGTTTTCCTAACCTCAAAGATCATCCGCTGCAGTCCAAAGCAAAACGTGGATCCAAAAGGGTTTGTATTGTTTGGAGAAGACGACCTGAGGAAAACAGAGCAAAACTAGAACACCGGTTGTTTTCAGCGAGGCCTTTGAGTCAGACTTCTTGCAATGCGTTTTCGCACTGAGCTCAGCAGCAAGCACAGAACTCGCCCTGTCCGGAATTCCGGTGGCTGCTTCCACCGTGGGGGGCACTGCAAGCCGCCTCGTTTCCCTTGGACACGGTTAAGGATCGTGCGCGAGCGTGTTGCGAACGGGACGGGGAACTGCACTGACAGACAGCACTGGCCTTTTCCCGCCTGGTGTCGCCCACAGGCGTTGGACTTCAGGTCCAATCACACACCGGCCATTGGCTGGGGAGCACGGGAGCTGCAGTCCAGCCCATCTGGCAGCGACCCGGCTGGGAGGACTGGCACTGCATCTCCATCTTAAAAGGGAAGGTAAAGGCAGATTCCCTCCTGGCGACCACCTCCACGTAACTGGGATGACCTTGAAACCAGGGCTTTGGTGCCGCAGTTCCAAGCGACAGGCAATACAAACCAGCATCTGGCATCGCGAAGGGCTCCCTTCTTGCACAGGTCATGGAGTTTCAGTAGCCCTTCGTTTCAGAGCCAATGAAAGGGGGGCAAGGTGACTTCTCCTGCACAGCCCCTCTTTCTTGTTGCCCCCCGAAACCCAAGCAACTCCGATGCAAGCGACAAAGCAGGTGGGATTTTTACCTGTGAAGGACCACTGGCTTCTCGACTGGATGTCCAAGAAGGTCCTGAATACTGTCCCACTGCAAGCACATTGAAGATTACTCAGAGGATGAAGCGCCCCATGCATCTTCTAATACAGCCCTCTTTGTCTGCATGCAGCATTTGCTCCTAAAATTCAAGTGCCAACTTCCAGTTCGCAAGAGTGAGGGCCTCCTCAAGAGCAGCCTTCTGGCTGCAAAATGCCCTCCAGCACCGACCTCAGTGTCCTTCTAATGCCAGGCAGAGTCTCTCAATTTCCTCTAACTTTTGAAACCTGACACGTGGTCCTTGCAATGTGTCATCGTTTTAATGCAGATGTTGCCCACATCCCCTCTTTTTGCTTCTTTCAGCTTTTCTTGTCCACGTGATACCTTAGTGCTGCCTTACTGAACTGCACTTCTGTGGATTTTGCCACTTTAAATTATTTTAACATATCCGGATGCTACCCAGAGAATGACAACTGGCTAAATAAGAATCTTGGTGTTCGTCACCAACCAAGTTATCAAAAAGGGCTGCCTTCTCCAGCAGGAACCCGACTCTCTGATTGCTCACTTACATTCCCCACAGGGGCCCTGCTTTGTGCCCCACAGCCACTGAAGGGGCGGCAGTGTGCTGGGGGGTCAGGGCCTCCCCAGCTGTCCCACCCAGACTGTAGGATCAGACCCTACAGTCCCTCCCTCCCTCCCTCCCTCCCTCCCTCCCTCGGGAGGCATGCCTGGATTCTCCTCTGTTGCTATTTAGGTGCCCCATGGAGTTGACTGCTTGTAGGACTCCCAGCAATGCCTCTCTCTTTCTTTGCACAATGTTATTACCTGGACGTTTTCTGCCACTGCTTGTAAGGAAATATCTTTCTAGGTTTTAATTTAGCTTTAACTTTTAAAAATTTGATTTCTTAGCAGCCTAGTGGAGAGTGAAACTCCCACTTTGCAAGTAGAAGGACAGGCTATAAATATCTGATTGCCAAAATACCCACACAGGGATCATCTTAATAAGAAGCTGACTTTTGTATAGCAGGAGGTCATCTTAGATCTAGGTAAAAAGCGGCTTCCCCTAAGCAATTTACTTTCAAGAGACTTTGCCGTATTAGGATGTCATTAACAAATGTCTTGGTCCTTTGAATCATAAATAATTAAGAGGCAACTTGGTAAGGACTCAGTAATTGCCTGAGCGCATCTGGTCAACGATTTACCTACATGAGAAAATTACCTGCAGTCTTACCTAAGAGACAGGCTTACCTAAGGGCTGCAAGCTGTCATGAGGGTGAAAACGTCTTCACAGTTCAAAAAGAACCAACTCTCAGAGAGAGCCTTCCCCCCTGCCCTGTCCCTTCCTTTAAAGAAACACATTCCTGAACCTCATTCCCCGAGCCAAAGGTAGCCTGAAAGGGTCCATCTAAGCGACAAAATGCAGCACCAGTTCCATCACTCCGGGACAACCAGGGCGCAACTCTCCTGCAGTCCAAGTCCTGTCCCGGCCAACGTGACCACGGCTCTGATTACCTTGCTATAGGTTGTGCAGGTTTCCATCTGTGACTCGGTGCTTTCTGTTTGGGGGAAGAACAGAACCAAGCTCCCATCAGAGAACATTTCAGAAGTACATGCCACTCCCTCTGCTACCCATGGTCTCTTTTCCACCAGCAGCATGCTAAGTGTTCTGTGCAGAATGCAAACGCAACATGGCTGTGGCAAAGAAAGCTTAGAAGAGCCCTTTTAAGACTGATGCTTCCAAAGCTCCGGGGAAGGCCCCATTCCCAAAGGAGTCCATGGGAAAGTTGGACTGGCTCCCCCAAGATGAGCCCACTTCTCACGTTTTGGTGCAAATCGGTATTTCGGGTGCTTCTCCTGACTGGCGGGAGCCAAGCAGCAGGAAACACATCCACCTTTCTGCATGCAAGATGGGTGGGATTCTTCAACAATGCCCAGCACAGAGAACAGCTGACTTGCTCTGCGCGTGTGCACGGCGGTTCCACGGAAGGACAGAGCAGGCACGGAAAGCACCGAATGGGTGCAAATCACACCTCCCCCAAGGGGACCTCAGCTTGCACTTGAAGCAACACATGTTCCAGCCCTAGGGGCAATGCCTGCCGAAATCTCAGGGGCAGCTTATGAGTGCGGTTTCTGATGACAGGAAGGGGACTTTTCTGTCCAGCAAAACCATAACAAATTGCACACCCTGGGAAATAAGCGTGGAAGAAAAATCATGTTAACACCCCAGGGTCCGCACAGGTTGCATGGACAGCTTTTCTTGGCACAGGAATTGGCCTCTTCGAAGGCCTCTGATTTTTTGCACACGTGGCCCGGGCAATGGCCGGAGAGCTTGAACTGAGAGCATGTGTAAGGGTGGGGATGGGGAAGCTTGGGAAGGGATACAGTGAAGGAGGAGAGAAAATTTAATGTAGGAGGAAACCGCAAGAAGGAGAGGAGACCTAGAGAGGAGACATGGCCAGGGGACAAATATCCTTAAGGGAGGAAATTTGAACTGATTAATTTTAACAGAGTGATCAAGATGGGGTCTGTCATGGGAATAAGTCTTCCCTGTTCGTATTTTTCCCGGAAAAGACTAGAAACGCAAACAAAACATCTTAACAAGGGCAAAAATAGGACAATCTATTGAGATCTGTTCTCTTGGCATGTAACAGCAAGAGCTGTCTGTAGACTTCAAAATAGCACTTTACATAAAACCTGGAATTAATTAGAGCTGTTCTGCCCTCAGGGTCACTGCATATTTAATAATTTCCACGGAATCAGCTTTGAAATAAGAAGCTACTGATGAGTAAAAATATTCACAGAAGAGGCAGCTTGAAAAATAATTTAAGATACTTCAGGGAAATCTAAGATAAACGGATCAAGTTTCCTCTTTCTGCATGCAAGCATCAGTCAGTTGACTGGGAAGTATTTTGAAAACAGGTTGCTTTCTTTATATGGGAACTAGAGTTAAATGAAGCTAAACAATAATTAGAGCTCTCACAAGGCAGCTCCGATTATGGATTAGAGTCCAGTTATCTTTTTAAACTACTTCCGGGGGTCCTGTGCCCCTGACCCCCTGGAGCTGTTAAATAAACAGCCGTTAAGGCAAGCACTTGGGGAGTTCCTTGAATCAGGACAAGCTGCCCCCTTACCACCCTTTGGGGACCAGGGCTTCTCGTGAGCCTTAATCCTGACGCTTTTTACCCGGAAGCCCTCCTCAAGGTGCCGTAAAAACACGCAGTCTCTACCCTCCAAGTGGAGGGAGTGGAGAGAGCTGTACCAGCTGCCCTCTGGCTGGGAAGAGTGAGTCCTGCCGAATACAGGATTCTGGGCTGTGGACGATCGGGGTTCTCCATGGGGTGGAGAGCCTTCATGAAGAGGGGAAGGTCCCCTCTGCACTGAGCAGCTGGGGCACACGGAGAGGCAATGGAGATGCTGGGAAGGGATGGCGCAGGTGCCCCGCTTCCTCGGATGGGAAGCCCAAAGGCATCTGGGATGTTGCTGGAATCTGGGGCTCATGTCAACGCATGCATGGTGTGCAAAGGTCCAAGTTCTGCCCTTCCTCCTACGGACAAACATGGCACCAGGCTGGGGGCTTGTTCAAAGCTGAGCCAGGAACGAAACCAAAGCCTTGCAAGCAGGGCCCCTGAATTGTACGGGATTTTGGGGTTGAGCGATAGCATCTCCTTAGGCGACCAGAATCTGCTGGGCTGTGAGCACTGCACAGTGCCGAAGCACTCGAGGTTTTCCTTCTTCTGCACACAGCGCTCACGTTCCCAAAGAGGACGTCATTATCTGCCTCTGTACAAAGGGTGGGCCTGCATTCGCTCGGATGGCTCAGAATGGCTTTCAATGGCCAGGGGGCTTTCCACACGCAGCCGCCCAAGGCCCCCTACTCCCATTGGCCTCTTTCACTTTCCGTGTCCCCCAGACTGCATTCAAATCCACGCTCGTTCACCACTGTGCCACCTCTTACCTCTTTTAATCACTAGTGGAATCTTGAATTCGCAACGGTGGTAGCTAGAAACATGGAAATTGCAGTTACTATGTGGGGATGCAAGCATGAGCAAGGGTCACCGTTTCAGACATAGCTCATCCTCAACTAGACACAGGAATACTCGGAGCTCTTGCGCTGCCCGGGGCTTGTCTGCAGGCCCACAGGAGTCCTCACTGTGGCCACCCCGACCTGCATGGCATTCTGCTGCTTGACCAGTGGAATTTACAGCCTGCCACAAGGAGGCATGCAAGAAGCTGCCTGCACATACGGGCCACAGGGCTGTCCCACAGGCCGAAACAGAGCGATCTGGCCAGAATCTGCCTCTGGCACTTGGTGGACGTCCCTCCCTCGCCCGGCCCAGGCCAGGAGGTGAGCTGTGCTGCGGTCAAGTCTGCAAACACCCACGGACCCCTTCTTTGAACAAAGGGTGCAAAATGCACAAGGCCCGCCAACACAACTGCAGAAAGAGAACACCACTTGCACTTGCTGCCTGCCAGATGCCCAGGTGAGTGCTGGGCACAAGGGGGACTTTGGGCAGGGAGAAAGCAGGCTGGAGTCCGGAGAACCAAGCGGAGGAAATCGAATGGATTCCCCCCTTGCCCAAGCAGGACTATCTGTGGCTGATTTGTTTGTCCAGGAAAGCTAGTGACTGCTGCTTCAGTGCTCCAGAGCAGTGAACTTATTGTGAGAGGTCCGCCTGGTGCCGTCGTTATTTGTTTTTCGGCACCAGGCAAAGACCTTTTTATTTAAGCGTCATTTTAATTGTTAACAGCATTTGCTTATTTATCTGGCCAGGGCGACCCCGTGCTATTCAACTTGTATATGGCACTGCTAAGCAGGATCATCCGGCGCTCCGGAGCGTGTCTACTTCTCCTCTGCATCCTTCCAGGTGAGCCTGCAGCTCTCTGGCTGCGACAATGGACTGGACGAGGGCCAGCGAAGGGAAACTCCATCCAGGCGAGACAGAGACGCTGTCGCAGGTGGAGCCGCTCACAGGACAAAGGGTGCTCAACTAGTTCTGCACAGGGTGGGACATTTCCAAGTGCACAACAAGAATCAGAGGTGGCCAGCGCCAGCCCTTCGAAGGGTGAGCAGGTGGCCACCAAAACAGGGAACGGCCAGCATTTCTGGTCTCGGGGGAAGAGAAAAACAGAGGGACAAAGCAGCTGCGTGGGGCAAGAAACCACGCAGTTTTGCAGTGGGAAAGGAGAAGGAATCTGTTCATCCCATGGTACCCTGGAAATTGGGAAGGAAGGCACACGCGGGAGGGGAAGAAGCTGTGTGCCAGGTTCACTGTGGAGGCTCTGCGGAACAAGCAACCACTTGGGCGAATCTGGCCTTGTGTATGAATTCCCCCGTGGTTCCCAACAGCTTCCCTTCTCAGGTTACCAAGGCCCCCCTTAGGGTGGGGCTTTCCACTGTGTCACCCTCCCCTGGCTGCAAGTCGCTTCAACACCCTCCATTTTCCCTCTCTGACCTTGCCCTTGGGTGCTGAACTCCACCCCTCCTCTTCCTGAACAGCCTGCACTCCCACAGGCTCAGGAGACCCAGCCAAGCTGTCCCTCGAAAGATGCAGCCCGGTTTCCTCCTCTGCCCCGCTGTCCTCACCAGCCTCCTCCTCTCACACCCTCAGTGTCCTCCCCACACTTTCCACCTCCTCCTCTGACTTGTCTTCAGGCACGTCTGCAGAGATACTGAGCCCAAAGGTTTTCACGCACCTCCACACAGAAAACTTAATCAAGGGCATCTTGGGACATATCTGAGTGAAGGGTTGGTTCTTCTGGGGGGGAGGAGAGAAGGGGTAGAAACCCTTCTGTGGACATAGATGGTGAAACCTAGTCTTATGGATGGGCCCAAGAGAGACTCAATTCTAAAGAATGCTCCGTTCCATTTGCTCAAAACCTGGATCTAACAGTATTGCTGTTTAGCGAAGCTGTGCCCGACCCATTGAGACCCCATGGACAACATTACATATAATCTAATGCATTACAGAAGCTTATTTTCTGCTGGTTACAGGCCCTGCCAGAGAAAGAGCAGTACTACAGATAAACACAAGTGCAGAATCCACTGCATTGCATGGGACCTGAAATACTTGGAAATTGCTCTAAGAAGAGGCTAACTCTTGCAGCCACCTAAGCAAGTCTGGGAAAATGTGAATGACATTCAATGAAGGCTTAGGACGCGGAAAGGACCCAGGTGGCGCTTCCCCACAGTCAGCACACCTCCTAGCCTGCGGCATCCCAACTCCACGAGGAGCGCAAGCTGTTCTTTCTACTCACATGTTGAAGTTGTAATGACCGGGGTAGTTGGTGTGCAAAACGAATTTCTTCACTTTGTGAGTATTCGCATCAAAAAGGATATCCTGTGAGGGAGAAAAGGGGAAAGAAATAAAGTGAGTCAACACTAAATGCAAAGGATGAAAGCACGTCCCCGTAAGGGAGCAGAAAGTCCTTGGCCCATTTTCAGTCTGTGTACAGACAGGATCACGTCCGCGTAGAGCAATTTATTTCAGGATCTATTTTGAACTGGGAGCAGAGGAAGAAAATGGTTTAACTCCCCCACTTCAAAAGCTAAGAGCTCCTGATGGAGTGGAGAGCTGTCTCTAGTCTCTGAATCTATACGGAGTGCAATTCCTCTGCTTTTTCAGGCACTGGCCCTGGCTTCTCTCCAGGGCACCTTCAACTCTGAAGGGACCTCGCTGCATTGTGCAAGTAGTGCATGCCAAATGCGGCAGGCGGGGTTTGTGCAGCACAGATGGCACTAACAACCCAACAGCCAAACGGGCAAAAGCAGAGCCGCCGCTCCAATGTTCCTGCCAAGGAGCTCTGGTGGATTTTAACCGTGCTGGCCCTAGCTGGCACAATATGGACATGCAGAAGTATATTTATTTGCTACATTCATATTCCGCCTCTCCTCTAAGGAGCTCAAAGCAGTGTTCATGATCCATTTCTGTTTTATCCTCACAACAACCCTGTGAGGTAGGTTAGGCTGGGTGTCAATTACTGGCCCCAAACCGCTCGATGAGAGACGGAAAGCAAGCAGAATTGCCTTCAAACTCTGAAACTCACCACTCCAAGCGTGAAGTAGTTGAAGAAGCAGTCGTTACACTTCGATGGGACCTGCTTGTGAGGGGAGGGCGAATGAATTTTCATCTGCCCAAAGAAAATCAAACAAACAAACGTCACCACATGACATTTCAAGTTTTTCGGGTCAGGGAAACAAATCAATGTTTCAAATGCAGCTATGGCCGTCCAATTTCATAAATGTGTCCGTCTGGTTTGACTGGATGGAATTACTTCCATGGCAGAAATGAGAAATATGTTCTACTCTGCCACGGAGTACTGATTAATGGTGGCACACTCTGCATGACCCGGATGGCCTTCATGTAGGTCCCCGGACCCCTAGGCCCAGGCAAGAGGCAGATTCACACAACGCAGCGAGTCACAGTGGCTTCTTGTGCTGCACCAACCCCATCATGGTATTGCAGCATGGCAAGTTAGGTTTCTGGAGACCGCAACAAGAAACAACGGCCTGGGCTACGGTTTCTACGCTTCATCATGGTTTCCACGGTCCTGGTATGAGAGTCCATTACAGGAGCTGCTCTGGCATGGGACTGAATTTCAGGCTGAGCACGGAGGGTGGGGACTACTGGACTATCTGCCAGGCACATCCAGCAAAAAAAGGTACATGGTGGCAACAACACAGGGCTGCTTGCCATGATGCACGAAGCCGATCCATTTCTTTAATCCAGGGGTCTCAAACTAGCGGCCCGTGGGCCAATTGCGGCCCGTGGGACGATATTTTGTGGCCCCCATTTGATATCAAAGTTTAGTGATAGTGCGGCCCGTGCGTTCTTCTCACACACACCTGCGTGAGTCGTTACCCTGGGCGCAATGTTCCCTCTAAGCTGCGCACCGGGACGGGCGGGGCACGGGGCAGGGGCCCTGCGGCCTTCAAAGCGCCGGAGGCACCCGGGCCGGCCGCGGGATGAGAGGCCCACCACCACCGCAGGGGTGGCATACTTGATGCGGCCCAGCCTCACCCAGACTCTACTTCCAGCAGCCCCCAGGTAAGTTGCGTTTGAGACCCCTGCTTTAATCTATCAGGCAGGCTACCCCATCTTGGGCCTGTCCTTTTCCCTTTCCTCTCCTCTCTTCCCTGCAAAAAGACTGCTATCCCCGTTCTCTGATTTGTCCTGGGGAACACAGATGAGATCTAAGGACAGGATGCCCATCAGCACCTACTAACCAACCCAGGAGATCTGCTGGTGGCATCCTTGAGAAATGTGACTCACGGGGCGATCACACCATTGCTGGGAGACCACCACCTGAGGTCTTCTTGGCGGTGGCACCTCAATGAGAGAAATCCACTCGAGAAGGGATTCAGCTGTTAATTAGGCAACCGTTACAGTCATGTTTATTTGTACAAGCTTTGGGAGTTATGGAAAAGTGATAATTGAAGGAATGCCTGTCTCCTTATATCCCTATTGCACTGTTAAGATCTTCTAGGCGAGCCGCCCACCCCCAGATGAAGTAAAGGGGGAAACAACAAGGAAAAGGGCCTTTTCTGTTATTGCACCTCATCTCTGGAATGCCCTCACTGCTCAGTTTCCATAGCCAGGTGAAGACATTTTTATCTCATACCTGTCTTTAGTATAATTTATGGTTCTATTATGCCTTTTTCACTGCTTGCTTTTATTTATTGCCTGTAGTGTCCCCAGTTCCCATGTTAACTCCTGGTTTTACGAAGTTGGTCTATTAGTTTTCAAATTTGCTTTTTTATTCTCTGTGCTATTGCTGTTTTGTGAGCTGTCCAGAGAGCCACTGGGGGTACAGGGTGGCACACAAGTGTCATAAATAAATAAGTATTTTCTCTGTTTTTTAGTTCTGCTGTGATGATTTTACTCTATTGCACTGTGCCATTTCTAATTTTAGAGTTATGAGTTTAATTGTGTTCATGTGTTATTGTTTTTTTAAAAAGGCTGCTTTAGCCAACTTGGGTTGCTTGTGTGGAAGGGCTGGATAGTGAAATATGAATAAATAAAACAGTCCCCATACACAGAGGGTCTGCATATCAGGGGAAAGGGTTTCAGTCCAACATTCTTGCTGATCCACTCATTGTCTGTGTGGGAAATGGCTTTTCTGTTGGAACACAAACCAAAACAAAGCATTTTCTAGGGGATTTTAAGCATTTGAGGATATTCAAGAGAGAACTGAGTACAAGGTGCATTAACTGTCTAATAAAAATACAATATGCATTAACTTCTCATTTCGTTGTCCAACCTTGTCTTCTGACTTGTAGAAAACTTTGTGAGGAGACCCCAAAGTGCTCAGAACATCTTGGCACGAATCACCGAAATACACACAGCGCTCAAATACCCGCATCTTGGCATCAGCTAACACACCAAGGCCACAGCCTGGAGAACAAGGGAAAAAAGACAGTGATTGGCTTTTGGCTTGCAGAATGAGGCATTTTCAGAGAGGTCTGATCAGCAGCCAAGCTGCCCAAAGAGGAGCTACTCACAGCAAACAGGTAGCTCTGCCCTATGGAAGCGTGGGACTACAGCTCCCATCAACCCCAGCCACCAAAGCCATTTCAACAACTGCGCTGGCTGTGGGTGATGTGTGTTGTCATCTGACATAGCTGTAGGAAGGCAAATTTTAAGAGACTTTGCACAAGCAAAGATAAGAGTGAGCAAATCTGGAGATGTAGTCTAGAATCAAATAACAGTTAAATCTGGTTAAAGTGTTGGGCTGGGATCTGGGAGGCCTGGTTCGAGTCGCCACTTGCCCACAAAGCTCACTGGGTGACTTAGGACAGTCACTCACTCTCAGCCCAACCTACCTCGCAGGATTGTTGCAAGGGTAAGACTGAGAGGAAGAAGAGGGGGGTTAGGTAAGGCACCTTGAGTTCCTTGAAGGAAAAGATGGAATATAATAAATTAATAATCAGAACAATGTACAACTCATATTGTGATCTGTATATTGACACTGATAGCCACTTAGAGCATCCTGTCGAGCTAATGAGCAGCATATACATTTGAAAACAAACAAAGCAAGCACACAGGAGGGCTTTCAGGGTGCAGGGCTTCGAAAACAGAAGCCTGCAACTAAACTAATTCTGGGAAGGGAAGGGAGGAGCAAAGGACCGCCATCCTCTGAAAATTTTGCTGGTGCTTCTGTCTCTAGCCACTGGGGGGAGTCCCTGTTTTTGTGGGACGGGTTCCTACACAGATAAAAGCTGTACTAGAATTGTCTTTCATATCCACCGATGTACATACACTCAGTTCATGGCAATTAACAAATGGATAACCTAAGTGGATTCTCCACAACTGTCAACCAAAAGCTTGGTATTACACATTGTAAAGATAAACAAAATTAGGATTTTTCAATTACTTTCTTGGGAATACTTACCTCCAGAAATACATCTTAAATCTGAATTAAGTAGATTAATGAGGACATTCCAGATGGCCATTTGTAAAGTTGAGTTTATGGGGTAGAGTAAATACAGCCAAGATGAATGTAATGCCTTGAGTTATGTTTTTACATGATATTGTTCTATTTATACTTGGCAAGTATTTCCAGAAACTTGATGCCTTGTTTCGTAAATTCCTATGGACTTTCATTCTGGCAAAGATCTCTTTGAAACAGTGCAACTTCCAATGAAAGTGGGTAACTTAGACTTCTCTGATCTTTGCTACCACTGGGCCTATTTATTGACTAAATTTTGTCTTTTCTGCTCAGACTAGGCTCCTCTACCCTCCAGTCAGTCTGGAATCTACCCAAATAAACCGCACTAGACTCTTGATGTCATAAAACTTGTTGTAGGCTGCCTCCTACAATCAGGACAGTAAGGTAGCAGTGGTACACAGTTTCACATCAATTACAGTTTATTTTTGCATGCAAACTTAATTATTTGGGGAAGCCCCACCTTAAAAATGGGCAAGACTGTTAGACTCAAACAGGCAGGCTGATTTTTTACTTCAGGTCAGCCTGATGATCCTAGGGATGATTTTCAACCCTTCCTTGCTTTGTGCTTGTCATCAGCTGAATGGCAACATGGGCAAAAGAGGTATTGATTATCAAGACCTAGGCTAGGAGCTGCTGCTTGCACAGCTTTGGAGGCCCCCTTGCTATTGGAAATCTGGACTGAGGCTGATCCACTACACTAGCCTGTGAACCCTATCTAGAAATATGTCCTAAGACAGAACAGAGCACTGTAGCCGAGTCTCCTATTCTGTCTGACCAAAGGATGCTTCATCGGCATCCATCTCAGAGGGGGAAGGGATCTTAATTCAGCAAGAGCTGAAGCTTTGGTTACGCCAATGATTTTTCAATAAGGGTTTATTTAAATAAGCCAGCTGTTGGACGTGTAATACAGGTAAGGTTTTTCCAACCAATACATTTTGACAATGACCAATGATGGCTTCTTTTTGGGGAGGAGTAAGTAATAGGGATAAACTCTGTGATGGAAAGCTCGTTAATATTTACAAACAGGCATGTTGGGGGGTTTTTCAATAGACTACTTGCCTCTTGGAATTTAATGCATGGCCAGTATAAATAGATTTGCAGTACCCTTTTGGCAACTAAAAAACTATTATTACAACACTGGAGGACAAAGCAGCCACCTTCAAGAACACGGCTGGCTGATAAAGATTGTAATTCTTTAATGTAATTTTTAGGCATAATTTGCAAATGGACAAATGCATGGATATCTCAGCTGCCTCTGTTGATGTCTGTGCATAACTATCCCTAATAAGAGAGCCCTGGGCAAATATGGTGGAATATAGATTTAATAATACATATATAGTATATTTTGCTATGCATAAAATACTATGAGTAATCACTGTAATAGAGTAATTTAAAACTAAATTTGTTCATTTATTTGCTTTAATTTTTAAGCTCACAATTAAAATGAATTAGGAATAGAAAAGCACAGCTAGCTTCCAAGGTTGACTTAAGAGTTCTGGAGGAATTGGAAGCCCCAGAAACCGCAAGTGAGCCGCTCAGCTAGAAAAGCATCTTCCCAGCCACAGACCCCATGCAGGTGCCGAGCCCATTTGCGTGATCCACGGAGCCCACGGAGAAGAACCACACTATTGTTTTGTTTTAAAAGCCTACATCTGGTTTTCCCCTACCAGGTTGACTTAGAGTGCCAGGCAGGCGAGCATTCGAAACAAATGCTTAAGATAAGATTTAAGCCATACAAATCTTTTACAGTATATCCCCCTGAAGTTGTGCTTCAGTGTTTGCAGCCTCAGTCTTTTGCTGAATTTTCTGTGTGGCGGCTTACTCGCACAGAGATCGTTTTCTCCCAGCGAGTTCAAACCGATCTCCTTACGAGCCAAGGAAATCGGTCTGGACTCGCTCGGAGAAAACGATCTCAGCATGTGCCCGCCCCTGCCTCGCCACACACGTGCGCGTGCCTGCCCTCCGGCCCGCACCCATCACTGGCACCAAATTCACGGTTTTTCACAATTTGCAGGTGCTCTAGGAATTTCGGGGGACTACTGTATATCCTTTCAAGCCTTTAAAAAATATGCTGCAATAAAAATTATAACTAGCATACCGATAATCCCATGTAATGCTTACACACATTTTATATAAATGCAATACAACAACCGTGTTTCTGTCAATCGTGATCCCCCCTCCCCCCACCCACACACACCAAACATGTTCACTTTACACTATTTAGAAAGAGCTGAGCCTCTTCAGGTTCACGTGTCAAGTGAATGAATTAACCTTCAGTGCATAAACGCTCAGGCATGTACCTTATCCGGACTTGCAACAGTGCCTTTTCAAAACCATTTATATTATCTGGATAATAGCTAACTCCTTCCTACTATACCAGGGTATATGGTCCCTGTCCTAGGCAGCTCTCCTTTCTCCTTCTCTGTAAAAACAGAAGCAAAATTGACTTAACATCAGCTATGGCTTTACTGCACTCTCTTATTCTAAGCAAGCAATACTCTAGTCTTGGGAGAACAAGGTCACCAGGCCCAGTGGGGCAGTCAAAGTCACTTGGAAATGGGCAAATCGCCTCCCCCCAAATTAGGGTGAAAAAGCAAAATGTTTTGACACAAAAGCAGCAGATAATACAATTAACCTCCAGTGCCCAAAGAGCAGCGAGTAGGTCAAAAATAACATTCCCACGCCTATGGCATGGAAGAAGCTGGCCAGACTGGGAAGGAAAACTAGAACTAAAGCAGCTCAGCAAATGCCGGAGCAAGACAGTCCGGAGTCAGGGCACAAGGACCAGAGGCCCTAGAGTGACAGTAACTGGCCCAGAGTCACCCACCGAGCTTTATGGCCATGCAGGGATTTGAACCTGGGTTTTCCCACTCTTAAGGTGTCATCAAATCCAACACTGAATTCACAAGCAGCAGCAAATTGTGGGTTAATTTGCCAGAGCTTTGTGTCACCCCTGTTAGACTCACCAGAGGTTTTTCCCTGAGCTGCAAACCCAGATGCTATAGGTTAATCTTGGGTTAAACAACCCACTGTTAGCCTACAATTAGTCCTAAGGTAAAGTATAACTCACAATTAACCCAGTGACCAGGCTTCACACATTGCAAATAACCTCTGATCAGAGGCTGCATACTCAAAATGTCAGCACACGACTTAGCGAGTTTTGTATTAACCCAAGATTTGTTGCTGCTATGTGCGAACAGATTCATAGTTTTTCTGCTTCATTCCCCTCCAAAAAGGTTTTTCTTTTTTAAAATCAATTTCAAGATTTTCAGTAACTATTTTACGAACTCTGCAATCCAGTGATCTCAAGGTAAAAGACCCCAAAAAAGGGTACAAGCAGGGTTACAATCTGAGGCAAAATGCTACTTATCATTTTTCTGAAATCTAGAAGGGGTGATTGGTGTTTTGCTGTACATCTACAGGAGCAGCAAACTTTAATTCTAAATATGCCCTGTCTGAACCTATGTTTTAGGGCATCAAACTGCAAATTTGGAGAACTCTACATTTCCTTTCCTTGGGTGTGCAACACAAAACTGCAAATCCCACTCTTGAACGGCAAGGTCTAACACAGGTCCTGAATCACACTTGTGGTGAACGTGAACTGCATTCACAGGTTACGGAGCTACAACCACACTTACAAGCATCTGCTCTATCTTTAAGTGCTGAGGCCTGATGATTGAATGAACCAATAAAGCAGCCTGCGATGATAATACAAGTAACATGAAATCCTTAGTAACACAGGACAATGCACCAAGGGACACCTCAGGGCTGGGTCAAGTGGAACACCAAATCATGGCTTGTGCTAGTCATGGTTTAGAACTATGACTCTGCATTACTGATCTGAAGGGCATGCGTGGTTTGTGGCCAGCCGCCTTTCTTGTCTTTGCAAAGAATGCCCAGATAGCAGGACCCAAGGATGGCGCAACATCCCAAATCATGGCTCTTGATTTGGAAGTTCTAGATCCTAGCTTAGCAGCCATTCAGAAGCCATCATCAAATGCAGGTTAGTGGTGCAGCCATATCAAGCCACGGTTGGCTCTGCAAATCACAACGGTGTGATGACTAAAGTGTTTCCAATACCCTTGGGCATCTTCTCAGGCTGCTGCCAGCTGGCTGAGGCTCTGAGGGGCTCTGAGGCAAACACAGACCCGTCTAGAGGTCCACTGGGGCATGGTTTAATTTGAGGGGGCACCTCCAACTGCCCGTTCAGTCCTGCTGTAGGCTTTCCGGACACCTGTTGTGGCCTCCGCATGCCTAGCGTGTGTAAAGAAACACCAGTTTTGACAAAAAGGATTCATTTAGTCCTGAAAGGGAATCTGAATCCAAGAAGAATGGCACAATGAGCCGACTCTGCTCCCCATGCAGAAGCAAACCAACTGCTCAAAAAGCTACCCGAAATGGGTGAAAAGTTGCAATGTCAGTACGGGACACAGCAAAGAGCTCTACTGAGCACTCCTGAGAGGCAGACAAGCACTTTTGCCAGCTCCCTGGGGTGCCATCTCCCCGCTGCGATGCGCGGGGAGGGTTGGGATGCTGGCACTGTGCAATGGGACACAGCCCAAAGGCCTTGAAATCAACGGAAGCCGCGGGTCCTGGAATGCCGGAGCCCTCTCCAGCTCTGGGGAGGAAGTGGAGAACTTTGCCATATGCAGCAGTTACGGAGAAGTGCATTCTCCTTCACGCTTTTGCCAGGACACAAACATGGACACCAATACCTCTGCTCTATAGCTGTACCTGCAGTGAGTAAGCGAAGCCGTAAACCTGAGGGTCCGGTTCCATCTCTCAGAACATCTATATTCTCGGCATACACATTTCCAAGGAAGCAGCTGAGAGGCATCAAAGGGGCCCTGAAATAGTGAGATCATTTATGATAAAACACGTACATGTGAATGAGGGCACAGAAAAAAAGGGCTTCGTGCTGTCACATCTGTCAGACACAGAAATGTGAGGGCAAAGATTCCATCTTCTAAAATAATTGTATCATTATGCCAAACAACCAGACATATAAAAGCTGCAACATGGAAAACTGCCAGGATCTGCAGCCAAACAGAATACCTTTCTACTGTTAAAATTGCACTTAAACTGGCAGACAAAGTGTTCCGGAGATGCACACTATCTGCTTTTAAACAACCGGATTCAAACTGAAATACTTCCAGGAGGTTAACTGACCAAGGTTACAAATCATGGTTTAAGGTTACAAATCATGATTTAGTGTGATGTGTGAATTGATAAACCATGGTTATGGCCACTACTCCGCCTCCAGAGATCAGAACAAGGAACATAAAAACAAGAAAACAAACTCTAAACCATGCTTTTGCTAGGGGTGTTCAAAATATGGTTTGGATTCTAAGTGGCTGGTGTGATGCTCAAACTGAGCTTGTGTTACTTCAGTTTCTGCATGACACTTTCACATGTCCTGGGAAGAAGGGAAAGGGGGTGCTGCAGTGGACGAGGAGAGGTGACCGATAAGGGCAAAGTATGGGCTATCAAATTCATTATTTTATCCCCTTTTCACATCAACTTGTAATTTTAAAACATCGGTGCAAACCTCGAACATGCATTTTTGCAGTCATTTCTCCTAACATAATTATTTGGTAAGGAATTTTGCCTAATATGGTTTTCCGCAAGCACCTTATTCAGGTTATCTTAACATTATTTTCATTGTATGTATTTTTCTGTGCACGTGCCCACAACATTCTTCCGTTCATTTTGTGACTGGAAAACATGAATATTGAAAGATAACTTTGTTTCAATTCATATGTTGCTTTAAGAAGTACAAATGGGGTTGGTTCCCTTGGAAATTCAAACCAAATGGCTTTCTGTGCATGCAAGTGGGCAGAAGATGGTCTGCCTACTGGGGACATGCTGCACAGTATCTTACGCACTTGGTGTCCTGCAGGCTGTTTCCACTATAGATGTACATGCGTTTCACAGTTGCCCCGTGGGGAATTTGGAGAGAAGCAAGACCATGGGCAAAGTTTGGCTGCGGAGAGTAAAATAAAGGTTAGTTCGATTGCACAATGACTGCTGTACCTCATGCTGGCAGGTTAATGGTATGTGTGCACCACCGTCCAACTAGGAACGTGGGGCGGCTCTCTTACCTTCAAACACGCTCTGAATTTCAAAAGCAAGTCGGAATGTGGAACAGGACAGAAACTAGCTCTAAAGTGGCACAAGCCTAGAATGGGATGCTATGGTGTGCCCGCCAGTGCGAGAACTGAGCCAAGCCGCTGTGTGCTGAGGGTAAATGAAGGCTTCGACAGCTCTCACGGCTAGCAGGCAGCAAATTGCATGAAAAATGCTTTATGGATTTTGATTTGCAAACAGCTGAATTGCTGGAGTATGTCATTCCTTACTGCCCTCTCTGTACAGGTGCTCGCCAGGAAGTGTTGTTCCCCCTCCTTTCTAAATATCCTGGTTACTCCGATTTTTTTTTTTTTTATCTTAGGTTACTTTTATCTGATCAATCCAATTTTATCTCCTTGACTACAGCCAAATATTGTTCGGTAGTTTGTACAGTGTGTGGCAGAATAACCCTAAATGTTGTTAGGTTCTACCAGAATGCTTTTATTTTCTTATCTTAATTATTGTAATTTTATTAGTGCTGTATTTTTCTTATTTTTAACTAACAGTAATTTTGTGTTTTATTTATTGGCTGTTCAATGACCAAATAAAAAAACTGATTGATTGATATGCAAACAAGAATGCTTTGGGGAGTATACTGTCATATGCCCCTTGTTTGATGGAATAAGCCCTCTGAAACACTCAGACTGCAAATGCAGCGCCCTGGTCAGGAGCCACGGGACTGATATTCAAAGCATGATTTAGTGGCAGGGAAGGGACACCCTGCACACACATGCATTTCTCTGCCTACCTCCCTGTCTTGTTTCTCGGTTTACTGTGGCATCTGAATGGGTATTATCATAGTTGTCACTAGCCATGTTGTGAACAGGTCAAACTGTGGTTAGCAAGAACTAGGGGCAGGGGTGTGAGGGCCTCCAGGTTGGCCCCAGTTACAAACTACGATTAGCAACTGGGCCTTGCTCACAGACCTGAAGGGGAAGGCCCTGAACTGCACATATCATGGCCCCAAAGAAAACTGCCAAGTTTTTCAAAACACAGAGCCTATTTTGCTTAGTATTTTAACTACTAACAAAGAAAGTGTCTGACCTCATACTTTGGAGTTTCAGTCCATGAGTCCAATTGAAAGGAAAAAGACAGTCCTCTAAAGTTGAGGTGGAAAAGTTGCTCAGCAGAGTTGTAGACTGCAGAAAAGTACACACACACACAAATATGAAAACAATCATGTCTCCCATCAGTGACAAAGAAGTTCAGCTCTCCATTAAAGTACTTGCCAAGCTTTTATAAAACATGGCAACGGCAGTCAGGACTCCAACTTGTCCTAGGACAATTAAGGATGAATACTGACGAATAATCCAATCCTTTTTGCATAAAGGGAATGGATCTTGGTTGTGCTGCACACGTGAAAAGCCATTCAGGACCCTCCCCAAGGACCCATGCAGAACTTGCGCCCAGCACCTTCTACCCAAGACCACTTTTCAGCTGGAGACCTTTCTGCAGACCAAACATGTGCCCCATTTATTTATGTTATTTTTTTGCTTCATTTCTATCCTACCTCACAGCCAAAGCTCTCTGGGCAGTTTACACAGTCCATCAAAACAGATGATAAAAGTATGATAAAAATAGCAAAAATCAGAAAAAATATTTAAAAGTTTAAAACAGCCCAGCACGAATAATAAAAAGAGACAATAACAAGAAGTTTAAAAATGCAAAAAGAGTGACACTGTGAGACAAAACTGGTAATCCCCTCAAGCTGCCGAAGGTGGGGGGTGGGCAAGTAAGTCCTTAAAAATCTCAGGAAAGGGGGCTGCTTTAACCTGGCCCTGAAGAGATGACAGATTCGGCACCACAGATGGAGGTCCGCCAAGAAGGCCTCCTCCTTGTGCCACCACCTGCTTCTCCCGCAGAGCCGATCATGGTTGGGAGAAGCGCTGCACCTGGTATCGTGGTCCTAAGCCATGTGAGCCTTTATAGATTAAAACCAGCTCCTTGAATGGGGACCTGAAGCACAGAGCCACGACTTCCTGGGACAAGCCCACTCTCCGTAATAAGGCGGAAGAGCACTGGCAAGGGTGTTGCCTGGATCGCTTCAAGGACTGTGCGTCAACACATGGGGGAAACGCTAGGCGAAGGCCACGTATAACAGGTTAGCATGAGAAAGAAATGTCAGGATGAGCGCTTACTCATCTGTAAGTCATAATTCATCACTCCTGAAGGCTGTATCCCCTGCAGAAAGTTTGAAACCAGTTCCCTTTGCCTTCCAGTCACTCGAAGGATCTCACACTGCCAAAAGTTTTGTTAGACCAGCAATAAGAGGTTTAAATGAGGGATTCTGGGCATGGTCTTACAAAGCCTGGTCCTACTGCTGATGATATGGCTCCCATCCATGGGAACTCTGGCTAAGGTTTAAAGAGCACCGCAATATTGGTCTGAGGGTGCTTTTGCAGCTCCAGACAAATGTGGCCCACACAAAACAATACCAACTGATGAGCACGGGTCAGTCAGGAAATATAATCTACAGCCAAGGAATTGCGTGGGAAGGAAAGAAGATGGGTGTTGTGTCTGAACAGGAGAAAGACACATCCAGAGCTCAGTGGGAGAAGCAGAAGAGCACAGAGGGAAAGCACCACCCTCTTTTGCTGCTGCCGCCTAGAGATGGTGAAACCCATCTCTGGCCAAACAGGATCCGCACCGCTCCAAGGCAGTACAGTAATTTACGGAACCTGTTTGACTAGAGATTATACTGGTGCTAAATTCGGCCAAGTAAGGAAACAGGACACAAGGTATGGGACAGAAATAGGCATCTCTGTCGCAAGCAGCGAAGACACAACTCACTTCGATCTTGCTGAAAAACGGATAGTCCAGCCTCCACTGGAAAATCAAGACAAGATTTTGTCACGCTTCGCGCACATGAAATGGTGTTAGGGTGGCCTGCGGTTGGGCAGGGGAGCCAAGTGCAGTAGCAAAGGCTACAACGGGTGCTCCTAACCCTGGACTCCGGAAGCTGTTGGACTACAGATCCCATCACCGCCAGCCAGCCTGGCCAAGAGTGATGCAGGCAACAGGCCATGTGATCCGGGAGGGCTCCCCAGCAATGCTGACCAGCAACTCGCTGTGCTGAGGTCAAAAGCGGTGCTGAGCCCCTCCAAACGAAAGCACTGATGTGCACCCCCTCCGACTGGCAGCCAACAGCACCTTCAGAGGCTCTTGGTGGTGGGCGGTGGGGAATGAAGGCGCCAGCACAGTGCACCGCCTGAGACTGCGGCTGCAAGGAGCCAGCTAACCCAACGTTCAAATCCCGGGGAAGCATCTTTCGGGCCCTTACTCCCCCCGCTTACAAGGCCAGGCTCCATGTGCTGCCAAAGGGCAACTCACCTCCTGGATGTGTAGCTCCAAAGGACTGATCAATCTGCTCTATGGTTGGAGCGATCGCCTGAGAGTTAAAATGAACACCACTGGAAGAAACGAACAGGTCTGACTCAATAATTAATCCGGAGAAGTCTGTACGTGTTCAAAGTCAAGAGTTACCACAGCAGAGGTCTCTAGATTCCTCTGGATTCCCACTTTAATCTCAACCAACTTCCACAACAGAGAGGGAAGCGCACTGCCCAGTTCCCCGGAACTGTCAAGGGATGGATGCTACGGACCCCTGTGAAAGAAGTCACAGCACCCACACCAAAGTCTCGGGGTGCTGGATTCTCTGAGGCAAGTTGTGGTGGCTGAACAAGGAGAAGCTGATAAAACTTTGCAGTGGGGCTTTGCTTGGGCCTGTTTTGACCCGACTCCAAACCTGTACAGACTGTAATGCTGGGTGAAGTTGCAATGGGAATGATTGTTAAACGGGCTTAAAGCTAGTATGAGGATAGAACCCTACTATTGTCTGGTGTCTGATCTTCTAAAAAGGTCTGACAAGTGAACTGTAGCACAAGACACCTGGCCAGCTCAAAGACAGGAGAAAGATTCTCATAGCCGGTTAGCAGTGCTCCGTGCAGGAATGTGGTAGCCTTTCCCATCACCCGATTCAGACGTTTTAGCTGGAACCTCAGGGAAACAGCTGCAAGGGCGTAATTCTGGTTTCACGACAGAAGAATGGGGTCTGATGGAGGGACGTCCTTTACAGCAGAATTTATTTATGTTTGCATTTCACTGACCCTTGGAGAGCTGTGCAGAACCTCAGATGCAGGGTACAAATCCAGCTGTCTAGGAGTTAGCCAGATGGCTGTGCTCCCTTTTTCTGCCCCACCACACCCTCTTCTACAAGACTGAAATGCCTCTAAGGCTGAATTATTGGCTGTAAAAGGTTAAGGTAAAATATTTTGTCCCACCCCTTCTGCCACTGGAATGTGCCCCTCACCCTCAGAGCTTCTCTGAACTCAGCCCTTGGGCTGGAAGAAATTCTGCACCCGCCCAAGAAGCTCAAGGCAGTGTGCCAACTCCTCTCCTTGCCCTGAGCCCATTTTAGCCTTGCACAAACCTGTGGAGTAGGCAGGAGAATGACAGTCCCAAAGTCACCCAAGTGAGCTTCCAGGGTGAACGGGATCTGCCTGGGAAACTCTGGGTACCAGTTTGGAGCAAGCAAGGGCCCTAAACCAGTATCAAACTGTGGTTTGACATGCTAGCTTGTTCTGATGTTGGTAACCACAGTCTCCTGATGAGGACAAAGTGTGGAACAGCAGGCATCCGAGGCCCCTCGGCTTGCCTCTGCCTGCAGCAACGGGAGCAGTCATGGGGCAGCTTAGCATTCCCAGCTCAGCATCTATCTGGAAAAGGAACAGACCGGGCTTGCCTCTGACCGGCTACTCACCAATATTTCAACTTCACTTTAGTCAAGTCATAAACTTCAATCACCTAAAAACAGGAAAAAACAGTTCAAAAGATATGAAGAACTAGCCGCAAGAGAGCAGATGGTTAAAAACCCAACCAGAAAGAAGAGCTCCTCCGATTTGTCCCTACGGTGGCTTGTGATTCTAGGCACACCAAGCTGACCGACAGTTTCCAGGGCTCCCGTGTGCCCTTACAACCCATTGCTGGTGCTACAGGAGGACGAGGTGAGATGTCCCATTCTGGAAACAAGAATGTAGGCTCGTTTCTGGGCTTGATCTATGAAGGCGAGAGCTTTTTCAGAAGCTAATGATGGGTCCTTCTAGCACCATGGTAAAAAAGAGACAGTGGCAGCCCTGGAGACTGCACAAAGATGGGGGATCTCTTCAAAAGCTGCCCCTCCCCCCCCAGAACACAATAGAGCCAACCCACTTCAGTGCTCTTGGGATTTCTGCTGAACCTGTAGCCAATCTCTGGGCAGGAGCAAAGGCCTGGGCAGCTGATGTAACAGCTCCTGAGTTGTCGTCTTCCTGTCGATGGAACTAGACAGCTGCTTTGGTTTTCCAGGGCACTGGCAGGAACGAAGTGGCAAGGACGAAGGAAGAAACTGGGCACAAATCTTATCAAATGCAGCCTGGATCCCATCTCACGGCCTGTACTGTAGTGGCAATCGTGGCAATCTTATTATTCTGCCCCGTTGCACTTGCTAAAACTCTGTCACACCTAACCATAGTTTATCTGGGTTTGGATGTAACAGGTAACTGGTTACTGGCAAGCAGAAGTGAAAGGAGGCATAGGTACCTGGTGAACCTATGTACCGAGCAGTATCAAAGTGGAAGGGCAGAGGACAGCATAGCAAGAGTGGGGGAAATAAATGCATGGATCCAAGAGAGGAAAACAGAATAAGTAATATAAGAAGGCATGCTGTTTACAAGTACACTAGGGATACCATCCATTTATTAAGCAGATTTCAAGCCTACAACACATTTAACTGACCTGTTAAAATGAGCATTATAGAATCTCAGCACAAATTACATGCTGAAGGGCTTTAATGACAGCAACAGTTTTCCTTGGGCAAAAGTATGTAGAAAAGTAATTAAATACATTACTTTTCTACTAAATGTAGAAAAAATCTCAAATACATTGAAGCAAGATGAGCACAGAGGTTTGCTTACAGCAATGCCTTCAGTAACAACATTCACTTTTCTATGAAACTGCTCTAGTAACAAGCAAATGGTAAATACATGTTTAATCCATAATCTTTGCCTGACAACCAACGAAGGACAGACTATGCAGTAAACAACAGAAAGATCAGTTGATGGTGAGGAAGTAATTTCTCAATGGCATAACTAACAAATGGAACACTCAAGAAAGCACTGCAGTCTTCCTGCTTAGGGTTTCAGCCAGCCCTGCCCTCTTCTAAGGTACTCCATTACATTCTTTCCTTTTGTTTTTCCTCCGTTATTCAGTATCCAGAGCCTGCTTAGTCTTAAGCTGTGGGGATGCTTTGGAGGGAAGCAGTGGATTTTGAGAAGTTCCTTTCTGCCTAAGGAGTTTTCCGTACTTCTGCAAATCTTGGGCTTCCCCCGAGCTGGCTGCCTTCTCCCCCTTCTAAATGGTTGGGGCATCAGTAGCCACACCCCCAAAATGAGTTATCTATTAGTATGCAGGATATGGCTAAAATAATGTCAGTCCCTGAACGCACTTTATGGGGACAGGTTTTGACATAGGAAGAGTGCTACCATTCCTACAGCACTTGGCCCAGAATAAACCTCACAATCGCTAGACCTGGTAGCAAGATTCTTTTTCAGCCAGAGAATGAAGAAACGAGGCCAGTCTTTGGCATTATTGGTCCAGTCGTATTGATATGGTAAGCATGGAGTTTGGCAAGTGCTTGCTGTGCTTGGGTAGCCCACTTTGTTGCTGGAAGCAAATGCGAAACGCAGCACCAATTCAAGTCGCAAGCCACACGCTGGCTTCTTCAGACTGTTCGCCTACCGCACGAGTGACCGCCTCCCCCCACCCCATTTTTGCCTTTGCTAAAGGACACTTCAGCTTGTTCCCCACACTGAGCCCTCAGACCACTGTGGCCCACGTTTCTGCACAGCTCCCGCAAACATAAGGGGGGGCGTCGCATCGCCTGAAGCACACAGCCCTGGTGCATGAGTTCCCTGGGGCTTTCTGGAATATTACAGGCACGCCTGGCGTCGCTGGAGCTGTCATAAAAATGACCTACTTAAGGAAAAGCTTTCTTTCCACAGATGCTACTGCAGGCTCTATGATCTGCAAAACGGCTTGCTACCGCAAGCGCAAACTACCTCAAATTGCGTAGGAACAACCTCAAATGCTGCAAGGTTGCACCTACTTCCAAAACAGGATTTCTGACTGAATTCTAAAATGAGGCAATGTTCCACAAAGCGCCCCCCCCTCCCCACTTTCAGTCCCTGAAACTTTGCAAGGGAAACCACTGCACTGAAGAAGCAAGTTCCTCTCCCAGGGCTCCTTAAGGAGACGGAGGTCCCAACTCGGAGGGGATTAGTAACTCCAGCCATTTCCCCACCAGAAAGCTTTGAGATCAAAGGTTAAATTAAACATCCCTAGGAGATGAAAAGGAAAGTGTTCCTGAGTGCCCAAATCTAAGGAGAGGAAATAAGCAGGCAAGACACGATAGCCAGCTGGGGAAGTCAAAGTGCTGAAACAGAAATGGCGGGTGTCTGGAAGGGGATGCTGGGTTTAGGGGTATTTATGCAAAAGTCAGACTTTAACTGGAAGCCAGTGGAACTGGTACAAGTCCAGCTCCCCGTCAGCAACCTGGCAGCTCTATTTTGTACCAACTGAAGTATCCAGACCGTTCTCAAGGGCAGTCCCACAAAGAGCACATTACAGTAATCCAACCAGGAAGCTACCAGAGCATTTAGCACCGTTGCTAAGCAGTGCTCATCCAGGTAAGGATGCAGCTGATGGACCAGCCGAAGCTGGAGGAAGGTGCTCCTCGCCACCGCCATCACCTGGGGTCTCCAGGGACAGCTCTGGATCAAGGAGTGCTCCCAAGCTGCAGACCCTGTCCTTCAGAGGGAGTGCTTAACCTTGTATTGCATCAGCTGCTGCATGAAACTGTGCACTTCTAATTTTTATATGAAGTTATTGCTGTTAGTACTTCTTAGTGCTGTTTTTAGCTGCTTGTGTCTTATCTGGATACAGTTTTGTTGTTGTTGCACAAGGGGTTTCAAAGCTTATAAACTGCCCAGTGTGACCTCTGGGCTACCGGGGCGGTATATAGATTAAATAAATAAATGAACTGTGTAGGAAGGCCCAGGAAGGGTCTAATGGAGGGGGTGTTGCTTTGAACATCAAAGAGAATCCAGAATCCAGCACCTGACAATATAAAATGCACAGACTCCTAAACAGAAGCACTGTGGGTGACTATATTTATTCCTTTGAGTTATATCCCGCTTTTTTCTTAAAACAAACTCAAAATGACTTACATTATGCTCCTCCTGCTATTCTCCATCTTATCCCCCCAGCAACAACCCTGTGAGGTAGGCTGGGCTGAGAGTCTGTGCCTGGCCCAAAGTCACCCAGTTCGTTCTATGGATGAATGGGGACTAGAACTCGGGTCGCTGAGTCCACGTCCCATGCTCTCAACCACTGCACCACACTGTCTCTCAGTTCCCGGCTCCAAAACTAATATAGCCGTAGGAACGTGCTACTCTTCTCTGCACCAGCTTGCTCAGGGTGATCGTGAGATGCGGACTGAAATCAGGGAGGCCTGTAATACAGGTAGTGCAATACAAGCCACACACTGCCTGGATAAATGCACATTCTTGTTCTGACAGGCAGGTTAGATTTCTCAGTGTCCTGTATCCTAAAACAGCTGGTCATGGAATCAACCAGAGGGGAGACAATCCTGGATTTAATCCTACCTGGTGCTAGTAAATGCCAATGAGACAATTGACAACGGCGATCACAGCGCTATCGGATGTAATATATAGTTATGTGCAAGACTGCCAAACAGCCCCAGCACAGTCATATTTGACTTTAAAAGAGGAATCTTCTCTAATGAGAGGGAACTGGTAAAAAAGGAGTTGAAGAGGGAAGTCAAAAGGGTTACACCCCTTCCAAATGCTTGGAGATTACTCAAGACCATAATAACAGAGAAAGTATGCATGCCACAAGTTAGGAAAGGCAGTACAAAGTCCAAGAGGTTATCGGCATGGCTAGCAAGTGGAGTCAGGGAAGAATGGAAGTCTTGCCTAAATGAGGAAAACAAAAGGGAGCACAAGCTTGTGCAAGGGAGATGCAGCCAAACAATAAGAGGAGGAAAGAAAACATTTGAGGAGTTCATCACTAGCAACATCTAGAGAGACAACAAAGAATTCTTTCTACATATAAGGAGCAAGTAATCAGGTACAAAGGCAGTTGGACCATTGGAAGATTACACACTTAAAGACGTGAAGGAGGAGAATAGAGAGATTGCAACGGACTCTTTTCAGTTGTCTTCTCAGCAGAGGATACAGAATTTGTGTATTCAGGAAGAGAATATGAGGACTCAAGGCAGACAGTTGCGACAAAAGATAAAATCCTCAGCCTTACTGAAAGTTAATAAATCACCAGGCCCAGATGGTATCTGTCCTAGAGTTTTAAATAAACACGAGACTGCCACCCTTCTTATAAAGATAGGTAATATGTTCCGAAGATCAGTCTCTGTACCAGAGTACTGGAGAATGCAACGTCAATTTTCAAAAAGGGATTTCTGGGGATTCAGGGCATTACAGGTCAACTAATGCAACATCTCTGCTGGATACTTAGGTTGAAAGCACTACTAAAGGTAGAATCAGTAAGCAAGTAGAAGAACTAGTCTTGCTTCCCTCCAAAGGAAAGTCCTGTCTCACAAATGTATTTGAGTGTGTCAACAAGTGTATAGACAGGGGCAATCCAGAAGACACTGTTTACTTGGACTTCCAAAGGGCTTCTGACCAAGTCCCTCACCAATGGCTCCTCAGCAAACGAAGCAGCCATGGAATGAAGGGTGGGCGTCCTGTTTTGCTTGAAGAGCAGAAGACAAAGTGGGCATAAATCACAAGTTCTCCTGATGGAGAGTTGTAAGCAGTGGAGTCCTACAAGATTCCGTATTAGGACCAATTACTCTCAACCTGTTCATACATGACCTGGAGTTAGGAGCAAGCAGTGAAGTGGCCAGGTTTGCTGATGACACCAAACTATTTCGGTAGGTTAAAACCAAAAAGGATGTGAGGAGCTCCGAAGGGTTCTCTCCAAGGTAAAAACGGGAATCAAAGTGTTAACTGCAGTTCATTGTACGCAAGTGTAAAATGCATATGGAGCAAGGAATCCCACCTTCAAGTAGAAGCTGATGGGATCTGACCTAACAGTGACTGATCAAGAAAGATCCCGGATTTGCAGCTCAACGAAAACACCAGTCTTCTGCCATGGCTGCTGTGAAAAAGGCAAACTGCACGGTAGGCATAATTAGGAAAGGGAGTAAAAAATAGCCAGGACTGTACTCCCCTTAGAGAAATCCTGGCTGACTGCACTTAGAATACTGTGTGCAGTCCTGCTCACTGTACCCAAAAAAGGACAATGAGTTGGAAAAAATGGAGAGAAGGGCACTCAGTTGATGACGGGGCTGGGGGCCTTCCTCTAGGAGGAAAGGTGACAAAGGGGTAAAGAATGCCGGTAAAACAATCTCCTGTTGCATGTGAAACGAAGTAGCGACCTTCGGAAGGAAAGACGGATCCATTCAAAGAACCACCTTTTCCTTATGAAAATGAAAACTGCTGACGGTACTGTGGACGTGACCATGACTGTGACCACTTACGTCGGGGTAGAGATTGCAATTCCATACGACGGGCGGTCATCCTTGATTCATGGATTTTCTTCAATTTGCTGTCCGTCCTTGCATGGAGAGGCCGGAACCGTCGAACGGCATCTCTTCAATTTTCCGCTTCATCTCGTCCGGAAAATTGCAATTACGCAACCAGGCGTGCCTGCGGAGGGAAATGGCACCAACCAGCGACCTCGAATCAGAGTCCACATGGTGCCTCACAGTAGAAAGCTGTTGCACCGCCACTTGCATAGCTTCCTTAACAAAAGTCTTAGCAAGTTCGCCCTGGTTTCCTGGAAGAGTATCGACGATGGCGTCCAGGCGTTGCATCAGGAAATATTGGTAACGCGCCAGGGTTGCCTCGTAATTGGAGATTCTTAAACTAAGGCCCGAAGCTGTGCATACCCGGCGGGCGAGAGAATCAACCTTTCTACCCTCTTTGTCACGAGGTGAGGTGTGTCCACGGGCTTCCCGACCCTCCGAGGATTCTACAACAACCGAATTCGGCTTGGGGTGACGGAGAAGAAATGGGATGTCCTCTTCCCGCACCCGATACATGGACTCGTATTTACGAGAGGTCGGTTGTGGATTAGCTGGGAGGTCCCATGGCTGGGTCATTGCCTGCCATAAGGCTGTAATAAACGGCAAGGCAATAGATGTGGATCGTTCACCTCTAACCACATCATAAAAACGATCGGTGCTCGGTCCCGGCTGTTGGTGGGCTTCTATATCGAGCGATCTCACTAGTCTGGCCATCAGATCATTAAATGATATGTACGGTTCCTCAGGCGACCCCGGACCCTGAGAAGCAACCGCTGCATCCGGCGAGGTCGAGTCAGCCTCAGACTCTTCAGATTCCATCCAGTAGGGGGGGCGGTATACTGGAGGAAGAATCTCCTGGAGACTCCGATCTGCCACTCTCTCTAGATGGTGCCCTTGGGGCATCTCTGGGCATTGAATGGAAACGCTGCCGAGGTGCTGATGGTGAAGATTGTCCCCTAGAGGTTGGATAGTAGGCTGTAGAGTGGTACTCTTCCTGTCTCAGAGCAGAGGAGTACCTGGAGTGGTACCAATCATCAGACCTCGCATCCAAGGAACGGCTTCTCGGAGGGGAGATGGCGATCCCAGTATCCATTGGGATCGGAGGCATCAGGGTTGGTGATCGAGCCCTAGGTGGGGAGTCTTGTATTTCCCCGTCAGAGATAGAACCCCTCCTCAAATCCATAATGGGTTCGGCTGCCGGCCGGCACGGTGAGCCCAGTAGGGTAACCCTCATAGCCGCCTGGATGGTCGGGACCGAGGGGGTCGGTTCCGAAGTAGGTATCGGAATTGAGGAAGAGGCCGAGCCCGAGTGACGGTGTTTTGCCTGCTCGGGGTTCTTCGGCTTCTTAACCAGTTTGCCCGTCTTATCTTTCTTGGCCTTTTTCTGCACAGGATATTTATCTGAGTCGCTGTGCTTTCTCTTTTCCTTTTGCTGCTTCGGCAAGGAAACAGACTGATCGGCCATAGCCTAAGCGCCTTCTTCAGAAGGGCGTGAGGGTGGAGCAATGGAGGAAGAGGCCGAACGTTGCGGCAGGTCAGCCGAAGTTGGACGGCCTTCGGGTGGGGCCACAACAGTGGAAGGCTTAGCCACCAGCCGATCAGATTGGAGGAGAGCCTGATCCCAAAGGAGTTTGCGGAGGCGGTTCTCCCTGTTCTTCCTGGCCTGTTTAGAGAAGGCCAAACAATGGCCGCACTTATCGGTTCTGTGCCCTTCCCCCAAACAAAGGAGGCACAGATCATGCGGGTCCGCGGCGGGCATTTTGGAACCGCATTTTCCGCACTTGCGGAACGTCGCCCGTTGCGCCATCGTAGAAAGAAGAAAAAAGGAGATAGTAAAGCGGGAAAGTAATATTTTTGGTTTGTTTGTTTGTTTTTTTATAGGAACGATAAAGAAGAAAAAATGGTGCAGAGTTAAAGAAATATAAGTGAAATACTAACAACAAGAACAAGGGATATAAAACTTGGTAAGAGAAAAAGAGAGAGGTTTTCGGACGAGCAAGAAGGTAAATAACAATCTGAGCGAGAGCGAAGCGGCACGAGGCACAACGAACGGCGGTCGCAAAGACTGGAAAATGGCGGCCACTCCGCTCCTTATACAATGCTGGGGGGAGGGGGAGCAGAGTTCCCGCCAAAAACCGTTAGCTGTTAATCTTCTGGCCAAAGGCACTGCGCAGGCACAGCACCCATATGTGTGATGCACAGAGGCCACGACGAAGAATGGGGCCTTTCCTTGCCTGGATTCAATATAGGAAGCATTTACTAAGCGATACTAGCAGTACAGATAAAGCAATGTGTGATGGATCTCCATAAGAAATCCATTGTGAATGTTTAAAAGCAAGCTATTGATTTGTGTGCAGTTCCAAATTTACCGAAGCATTTTAGAGTCTGCTAAGAAAGCGGGGTTACGAGTATTAAGAGGAAAAGCCTCTCATTAGAAAGGGAAGGGAACCAAACAAATGAATGTGTGGGCAGAGCTGGAACAAAACCACCACCCCTGAAAAATGCTTCTCTACCATCTCAACAGCAGCAGCAAAATTACTGAAAGAGCCACTGTGATTCTTAAAAATAAACAAAACCATATTTTTCTGTGGCTAGATGGTGGGTTAGGTATTTGAGGAGACAAGACAGGATGTGTCTACTTCTGCAGAAATACTGCGCTGCCAAGCACTACCAGGTGGAATCTTGCTAGGTTTGCATAATATATTTGTATCCCACCTTTCTCCCCGGTGGAACTCAAGGTGATGGTGTGCAGCTCCCAGGAGGTCTCCCCTCGAAGCTCAGGCCAGCCCCGGACCTGCTTAGCTTCAACATGGCGAATGCCTCATGTGCCTTCAAACTATACTCTGGGCCCTAGATTTGGCTCTGACTGTGAGAATCCTAACCCTGAACAGAACAAGCAGGAACTGTATTGGGAAATAAGGCTCAGTTCCTGCTTGGGGGAAACTTTGTGCCTTGTGAGTAAACCTTTCTTCAACCTAGACTGGGAAAGAAAATGGTGAGCAGGTCTAGGGGAAAGGGCAGTTGGCTTATGAATGCCCAGAAACAGACGAGGTGCGGCCAGGACAAGAGCCATGGGAGAAACGCAAGTGAAATGGGAACGCAGCCTGGGCAACTGGAGAATGGAAGCAAGGACTGAGGACGGCAGACGGAGGAGGGAAATGAGAATGGACACCCGCCTCCCACCACCTGCAGTGTCATCATTCGTTGGGCACCTTTCAGGTAAACAGCAACGCTTTCCAGAGGTCTGAAGGATCCTGAGCACAGACTCAGAACCTCATTCGTTCCTGACCCCCTTTCTCATTTGCGAGCCAACAAAATATCACATCAACTGAATGTAAATACAATTACCCAAGATTCTTTGTCCTATTTTTAATCAGCTTTGACACACCTCAGATAAAGAATCCCCTTCTATTCTGCCAGTCAAGCAAAATACCAAAGCAAGTGATAAAAGTGAGACAGAGACTCAGAGGGCATCTGTTGGCGACATAAAGGTACGTGAGGGGGTGTCACACGGAGGTGGGTAGAGGTCTGTTCTCCCCTGCAGAGGAAGGCAGGACACGCTCCAACGGAGCAAAGCTCAGGGAGCCAAGGATCCATTTAGATGCCAGGAGGCACTTCCTGACAGTTAGGACCCTGAGGGCATGGAATGGGCTTCCACGGGAGGTGGTTGAGGCCCCATCGGTGAGGGTGTTCAGGGATAGGCTGGACATGCACATGGTGGGCGTGTCGTGAGCGGAGCCGGCTGGAGCCGGGGGTCAGACTAGATGGCCTGGGAGACCCCTTCTGACTCACTCTGTTTCTATGTCGCACAGACAACATTCTGCAGTCATTACTTGGAACAGTGCTGGCGCCATTTTTGTCGTTCCCAACATGAGTAGAAGTGTGCATTTAGGTGTGGAAAAAAGAAGTACAGTGGCATTTCCCGATTTAAACATTTACCTTCAGTCTTTGATTGAAAGCATCAAACAGCAGTTTGATTCCGTCCTGAGTCAAGTTAAGGATGAGGTCATGGCTAAGAGGAGACTAGAAAACAAAAGGCGAAGTGAGCTGATGAGGAACATATACAGGAAGGTTCTCTATGACAGAAGGCCAAGCAAGAAAGCCTGGGCACCAATTTTGCCCCATTGGGAGCCTCAGTGTCTTGCAAGCATAAAAGCTTCCGGGATGAACGCTGCAGTTGCCACATCTCCTCCTGTTGACCTGCTTAAATTAAACTCAAGGGCTTTGAGCAACGTTCACCTGACACTTGAACTCAACAGCCAAGGGGGGAATGTCAGCATTCCTGGCTCAGGCTGAATAATTGCAACACATCTCAGATGAGAGCTTTATCACATGCTCAGCCCACATGGAAATGATCACTCCGTGGAAAAGGGAAGCCAGCAAACAGCTCTGTACCAAAAATGTATCAGCATCATCAATCATCCGATATTGAAGCTCCCTGGGCAGTTCACAACAAGTAATAAGAAGCACAAATCACAAATACAAAAAAACCAGCAGAGCATATGATATATATTTTTAAAAGAACCTAAACCAATTTGAGCAGCTAAAATTAACAGAGCTGGTACCAGGTGGGTCTTACAGGGGAGAGGGTTCCAGAATTGTGGGACCACCACTGAGAAGGCCCCCTCTTTCGTTGCCACCCTCCAACCTTCTCTTGGAGCTGTCACTTAGATGGTGATAAAGAGGTGATGAATGCACCAGAGGTATTGCACTTCTTAAGTCCAGAAATGGCAGAACATGGCAACAATTTTCATCTTCCGAATCAGGGTTTAGGGGAAAGGCTGTTGTTGATATTCAAGAACAAACGACAATCTCTCAAATAAAATCGTCGTAAAATCAACCCCAAAGCTTACTGCAATAAATTCTTTGAGCAAGCGCTCTTGGCTCTCAGTTCAATTAGTCAGTGCCACAAATTCTGGATCGACACATATTCATGTGAGCACAAACCCATCTCAATTCCACCATAACTGACAGAACTTTCACATGGTGCCAAAACAGGACATGTTTTAATCCAGTAACTTCATGTGTGTAGTTATAAAAACATGAGCAATGCACAGGTGTACAATGACTGCTGCCTCACAGACCTCTATGAATAAATGGAGGCAGCCTAACCTTACAGCATTCTGTGAATACAGAGAGGAAGTATTACAAAAAAGTGCCCCTGAGTGTAAACAGCTTCGAATGGCTCAAGCAGGTGAGCCAGGTTACGTCAAAAGCAACAGCTCTGCAAGGCGCTCATGATTCTTATGGTGGATTAATGCTGCGATGGCAGTTCATTTCTTGAGCACGTGAAGTGAGCAAGGTGTGAAGAGATGGGTTTGCGGGGCACCCCATCATGGGTAAATAGCAAAGATTATTATTGCCATGCTGCTGCTCCACTTACATTCCGCTTTTCTTCCTCTTGTAAGGAACAAAAGGTGGCCAACAAAGTTCTCCTACAAGGTGGGTTGCCATGTCATGCAAACCCAGACTGATTCCCACAGACTGGCTTATTCGGGGGGCAGCAAGCCTCCCGGATGACCCATGGCTTATTCTGGGGGTAGTGCAAGCGTACAATGTCTTGGTGTGCTATGCAAACCCAGGAGACGCATTCCATCGTGGACTGTGGGCATCAGCTAGCGACCGGCTCAGCAAGGGACCCTAACCCCTCCCTGCAGGCCCTCCTGATTTGCCCTTGCTCCTGCCAAGCAGTGAACCCTCCATTAATGTCCAGGCAGGACGTTGGAGCAGCTACGGTGGATACGGCACCCTTTTACCATCGCCATTTTCTTCCCCGGTGTTTCAAAAAAGTGTAACTGGGGAGCATGGGGCTCTGCCCAGAAAATTACACAAGGTTAATCATTTTTAAGTATTTTAATGTTGTCTTCCGCAGCTTTCTTTAGGTTTATAGCCTGCTTTTTCTTATACCAAAGCCGCTTGCATCATTTTCCCCCTCCTGCATTCAAACATATCCCCACAACAACCCTGTGAGGTAGGTTGGGCTGAGGGTCTGGGCCTGGCCCAAAGTCACCCAGTGGGCTCCAGGGCTGAGCAGGGACTTGAACCCAGATCGCCTGAGTCCCAGAGCCGCATGCTTCACCATCACACCACCCTGGCTCTCCTGAAGGCACTTACAGCTGCCAGGTATGCTGTCAAAGGAAACTGGAGTCACAAAGGACTGACCAACCAAGACTGCATGCAAAACCTTTTTATTTAACTGATATTTTAAAAATTAGTATTTTATGCAACAGCCGCATTTTATTGGTTATGCGTTGTTTGATTGTTTTTAATTGGTTATGTGTTATTGTTTGATTGTTTTTAATTGTTTGATTGTATTTGATTTTATTGACTGTGAGCCATCCCGAGATGCCATGCATAAGGGACAGCATATAAAAGTTTTAAATAAGCAAGCAAGCTAGTCTGCACATTTCCCTCGCTGTCAACCGCAAAGCGGAAAAAATGGGGTAGCGACACCCCCTTAGCAACGCAATCCTCTGGTTTTTATCCGCTGGACTAAAATTTCTCACTGTCCTTCTTACCATTTCAACACGGCACAGTTCTCAGCGATTGCAGAAAGAATCACTGATGCTTTACCATCGACGCCACCAGCACATACTTCTTGGGGCACTTGCTGAGGCTGCTACTGTGCCCATTTCTCCTCCATTTAACTCCCCACCATTGCACTCACACACGTCACCCCTCCATTGTGTCAGTTTCCCAGTCCCTCCCCAAATGTGCATTTTTAAGGACTGCCGCAGCAAATGGAGACTTGAAGGAACACTGAAAAGATGGAGGCAGCCGGGAGCTGTTCATTCAACGCTTCATCTTGCTAATGGGATGATATTGTCAACATCCCCTTTTGGCACACTCCTGTTTTCCCACTTTAGTTCCCTTTTCAGTTCACAGTTGGGCCACGGGCAGTTGGCAACAATGCACAATTTCATCTGTCTGCCATCTCGCCTTCTCAGTATCCCTGGATGGGTACCTGTCTACTTCACCTCTCCACTCCCCTTGACAGCTGAAACTTACAAGGACATTGACATGCCAGGAATACAAGTAAGGGCCAGCCATAAATATGAAGCTGCGTATTGCAGGAAGACCAACAAAATAATAATCATTGTTAAAAATATAATTTAAAAGACACATTGTTGTGTAATCTTCACCCCTCTCCCCCAAAATAGTCACAACTGAGCCTTTTGGAAGCTCCTAACTAAAAACAAAACCACACACACACACACACACACACACACAACCCTCCTGGCAGCAAGCGAAAAGGGGTAGCAATTGGGAAGGGGAGAAGGAAACAAGACAGCCTGTCCTGCGAGGAGAGCAGTTGGAGAGCTGAGGAGGGAGGAGGGACATCTGCCAGGTGCGCACGGGCAGCCTTGCTAACAACAACACCATGCATGTCGGATGTTCAGGCTGGCTCTGCCTAGCATGCGCACACAGCCGTTGCACACCTTGCTTATGCGCATTTTATCTTTTAATATCATGGCTTCTATTTTAGGGGAGGAGTTTTCCTTGGGGAAAAAAGCTGAGCAATATTAAGTTTTAAATTGGGCTTATCCTGCAGGCATGTATTTGGGGGGAACTTTTTTCCTCCCCTCCACCTCCTGCTGCATCTCCCCAGCTCTCTCCCTCTCTTCGCCCTGCCCCACCCTGGGCCCACCACCCCTGGGGACCTTGTCGCTCCTCTGCAAAAGCGGCATGTGGGCAAATCAGGGCAGGGGCTCCAGATCCGCCCGGCCACCCACGGCAAGCACGAAGTTAGGGAAAAAGTGGCATGAAACTGTGGTGGGGCCACAATTAACGCATCTGCACAGTGTTCACTGCAGCATGTTTTTTCCGGCAAAGTTGCCCGGATGCAGTGGAGACGAGGAAGAGGCACGGCCCCTCATGCTCCGGTGGCCTGGACGTGCGTTTCAGTATGAGAAGCGTGCAGTCTGGGTTTCCTCCGTGCAGTGCTCTGCACACACGCTGCACTAAACCCCAGCCTGTGGGTTAGAGACCAGAGAGGTGGCAGTCCCACAGTTTGGGGAGGCGTTTCGCTTGCATTTGGGAAACAAGCATTCCCCCCCGCCCCCCGACACACGGAGAAATCAGTAACCGTGAGCCGAAACAACACTTACCAACAGTTCTGTTTTCAGAACAGAATTAATCAATTTAATGCTTTCCCCTTAAGAGGAAAACATGCAGCCTGACATCACAGCATTTCCCCTCAGCCTCCTACCTTTGGTGGGGGGCTAGATGTGTGCCTGTCCCTTGAATGGGCAGCCTCGGACCAGCCGGGTTAGAACAGAACATACTGAAACAAATATGGTCCATCCCACCCCCACCCCCCCGCACACACGCGTCATTCTTTTAAAGCCACACATTCCAGGATGTGGCAGCTGTGAGGGATGACTGGATGTCATGTGGCCAGGCAACACACACAAAGCCATTACACAATATTGACACATCCTCCCATCTCGGGCAGGTTATTTCTCAGACAAAATAAACTCAGGCTTGCCCATGTCATACCTGCTCACTGTAGAGAACCTGGACGTTTTTGATGATGCGACAGTGTTTCTGAAGAATGGCTACAGCCTGAGCCGAAGGCATTCCTAAAAAAGAAATCACACACCAGCTTTTAGAGATGTCACTTCTGCTTAGCCAGGTTGGCAAAAAGGTGTTTGCACAGCAAGGTCAGCATGCGGCAATGGGGTGGCCTGCAAGCCAGGCAGTGTAAGTATTTCTAGCAGTTCTTCATCAAATTAGGAGAAATCGGTGTTTCCAGAATAAAATCCACCATGCTTAGCCATGAAACCAGACTGTTTTCTAAGAAACTGGACACAAGATGGTATTGCCAACACTGGCTGACAGGAATGGAAAATTGCATACTGAACCAAATCCAGTAACCTTCACTTTAACAGCCCTTCGCTCTCTTAAGTGTCTGTATGTGGCACAGATCCAGACATTTCTGCTAATTCTTTTTAACACATTATACAGCAACAAAACAGGGCCTGCCGGGGAGTGTGCCAGCGCAAGACTGCAAGAAATGTAGTGTGCATTTTCAAATCCTTATTTAGCACACACGCTCAGTGAATGCAGCGCACAAGGACACCTCCAGGAGGCTGGTCTACCTTGATCTTCCCAGATCTTCAGCGTTTACCCAGAGCTTGTCTGAAGCGGGGCAATGGGCAGGAGAAATGGAGTTATCACTATTTCAGCACTGAAAGTGCTAAAAGCTGTCTTGATCTATTTGAATAAGGTAGACCATGGATCGGGAAATAAGTCCACAACCTACCTAACATGTTCACCTGTTAGGTTTTCATGGCTTAACGTCTTTGAGCTTAAAGTCCATATCTGCCTCAAATCTAACGGGATGGGCAGATATACAAAACAGATGGAGAGGTTCCAGAGAGCAGGCTCCTAACGCCACTAGATTCTCTGCAATAAGAAGGAATGTGGAAGCAGCAATAGGGAAAATGGGGAGGGTGGGTTACAAGTACAATATGCCTTGGATTCCCATCCCTGTGGCATTCTGTGAATACAGCCAGGAAAAGATGCTATAAAGGCCTTGTCTGGAAGTACCCTATGAACAGGTCTGCACGACAAGACAACAACCTAGCATTGGTAACTGGCCACCGTGGGTTGTTGAGTCATGCACACCTGGATGTTTCCCCACAGGGCGAGTTGTCTGCAGGCAACAGGGCCCCTGCCAGCTCACGGCTTGTTGTAGGGGTTGTTGTATCCATGGTGGGTTGTCTTATCAGTCAGGCCTGGGAAATGAATCCCACGATGGGACCAGGGAAGTGGCAACCAAGTTTCCAACCCTGCGCCTTTGCACTTCTGGCAGCTTTCCCAGGCCCCCGACAATGAGAGCGCTCCACCAATGCCCCAGAGGCACTTTGGGGCGGCCATCACGCTCTCCCAGCCCCACCTGCAACCCCCTTTGGCTGCCAGTTGCTTTCTTTTCCTTTTGGAGCCTTTTCACAATGTCTCCCAATGCCATCTCAGAGTGGCCATCACTAGTTTGCTTAGGTGCCAGAAGCATGGGGTTTTGTTTTGGTGTGTAAAAGAAAATTACAATATTGGCTGGTCCTTTCGAGGTGCAGAACTCTGAAGCTCAGACTAGCTAAAATATCTATCTATCTATCTATCTATCTATCTATCTATCTATCTATCTTATATTCCACTGTATTAGCCCAAAGGCTCTCCAACCGAATTACAATAAAATGCAAAGTTTTGCTGGATCAATATCCTTTTAATTCCCTGTCTCTGTCCCTGCCTCCCTCCCTCCTGCTTTATTTGGACTAAAAAGGGTTAGCTTGACAAATTTCATAGTCCTTTGTGGAACAAAACAAAACATAGAACAAAAACCCCTTCTTCTGATGGCTACCAAAAATCCATGCACACAAAATGTAGGAGGGCTTGGATATCTTAGCTTCCTAGAGTACCTAGAGGCTCAGAAAAATGTGGAAAAGGTGGCGAGCCCTGAGAATTGCTGGGGTACTTTAGAAAGAAGGACGCTTTCTCCTGCACCCTTCCCTCTTGCATGTACAAGGATCCTCTGTTCTTTCTCTTGACAGCCCGCTGTAAAAGCAGAGTAACAAATGAGACTATTTGCAGCCTTGCTTTGCGGAGGCCCACGAATGTTGCCTCCTGCACTTCAGTAAGATGCTCACCTAGCAAGACTTCACATTTCAGCTAGACGGATTTGCACCGCTGTGCACCTCTGAAAAGCTACCCCTTCCAAAAATCTTATGAAATATTTCTGCACATTTCAGGGATGGAATATGTCAGAAATATGTCCGTGAAACTGTGTGCAAAGGTTTCAAAAGATCTTTTAAAAACAGGGAAAGTGGAAACTGAAAAGAGGTCATGATTGGAGAGGAAAGAGTAGACAAGCAAGGTTCAGCTACCAGGACCCTGGAATACCACGGAAAGAGCCAAGAAGTAGGGGGCTGACAATTTATTGTAAGCCTGGTTGTTTGTCAGACGTGCTGCACCAAGGTTTACTTCACAAACAACCCACAGCAAAAAGTGTATTTACAAGTTGGGCTGCCCTTTTCCTGGGGACCCACCGTGCATCTTTACCATACACACAGTTTTCTAGGAAAATCTCTTTAGCATAGTCAAACTAAGTTTATTACAGTGCGGTTTGTCTCTGCAATCTTCTAGGGCATTCTAATTACAGCTGTAACTTCAGCCTATCTTGTCCTAGAGCTAGCAATTCCAACTGCACAGCCATTGTGCGATTGTGTACGCAAGATCAGGCAATATTTTTGCTACTGTAAAAGAAAACAACCCTCTGGAAAAAACCTTACATATTTATATTCCTGGCACATTTGTCTCCTTGTGGTCTAAGGAAAAGGAAGCCCGTAATAAGAGTTCTGCAAGTCAGTTTAGCCACTCAGACGTCCAATTTGTTTCTCTCTTCTTGTTTTGTTAGGACATAGCATAACAGAAGCATGCCAGCATTTTTTCAGCCTCAGTCCACCTTCAATAATGGAATAATACTGGCCTACTTTGCAGGAATGTTGTAATGACTGCGAAATAAATGCTGAATGCTTTGCGCATCCTCTGGTGTGCATCAGCACTGGGCATACTGGCCTGCATCCCAATGCTCTTAGGTCGAGACAGCGCTCCGTTGGTGCCCTCATTCATGTTAGAACTCTATCCCCTCCCTGCATAAATCACCAGAGGACCGGCTACATTAGCCCGTTGCAGGAGGAGGGGCAGGGAGCTCTGTGGCACCAGCACGGCCACCAAACATATTACTGCAAGAGCTTTTGTGGACTAGAGCCTATCAAGCACAAACACGTATAACGATTTTAAGACGTCTCCACGGCAAATGTCAGAGGCCTGCACCCAAGTCACAACTCCTAGCAGACAACAGGCAATTGCGTGTCATTTATTCCATTACTGTGTAGGTTTTATGTCCACGGTGGATGCCAGTCCATCCCTGGGAAGCCAGTATATTTTATGGCTTTATCACCGAGGCCTGATCTACACGGCTGCTTGTAAGCCAAAACAACAACACGTTATGGTTTTCAAGCTGATTGTCAGACTGTTTTCTGGAGTTAAATTATTGCCAACAAATTCATACCTGCTCATGCAGCGACAGAATCCTTCTAACCCCAGGTAGTATGTCCCTATTCAGCGCAACACTGATCGCTCATCTTGCATCAGGTACGCTCAGGCGACTGGGTCATGATCCCAGGAAAGGCACAAGCCTTAAAACCCACAACACTCGAATGACTTAACAAGCAGAAGGATAGAGAACGTGGATGGACAGGGAAGGGCAGGAGGCCTGGAAGCTCTTGGTGAGCATATAAGTCTTCCGAAGGAAGCTCTTTAATATGCTGTTCATTTTGGAACTATTTCGAGGACTATTATCTTACAAACAAAGAGCACCACTAAATTATAACTTAAAACCACAAGAGCAAGAGATGTTATTAAGTCTCAAGTGCTTTCCAATCATTCAAGAGTAAGTGGAATGGAGTACTGAAGCCCATGTGTCTGACCTCAGTCCCTCCAGCCAGGCCCCTCTGTGTTTAACTGCAAGGTCTCTAATCCCAAACGAGCACATCCAAGCAGGCTGGGGATGCTAGGAGTTGTAATCCCACAACCCTGGAGGGGGAAGCCTGGGGGAAGTTGTCCATAGTCCAAGGCAAGGTTATTGATTTCTGTTTTTCAGTCCAGGGACTGAATTTCATTTAGGAGCAGGTTTCCCGTGTTGAGTGGGGGCAAAAGTGCAGGGTGATCCCCCCTATCACATACCAGCAGATTTTAATTTAAAGCTCTTGCCGTGGGAGGAAGACGGCACAAAAGCTAGGAAAGCAGCAGAGCAGGCATGTTGCAGTGAGCGAAACCAGAGATTTGGTCCTGAGGTTCTCCTACCCTGGGGCAAAGCCCCGTGGGCCACCTCACTTGGCTCCCAGCTCCCAGCTGGTACAAAGCAAGTTTGTTCTGCTTTATTCAGAGGGCTGCTTTGAAGAGGGAAACAATGCCATTTTCCATGTTTCTGGCATCCATCCTAGCCTAGTTTGGCGATTGAAGCCACCTTTCAAGTTACATATTAATCCTGCAGAGAAGTGGGCAGGCAACAAACAAACCCAATCCTGCAAGGCTGAGCAAAATGTTCCCAACCCATGGCAACTGAACCACCACCCCAAAGCGTCTTGCCTAACCACCCCGAGCCATCCCGCCAGTGGCAACCGCAACCTGACGTTTCCCCACCTTTGAAGGGAGGGGGTGTTTTGCAAGGCAGGCTAGAAGAGTCTCTGGCAGGCAACGTCGTCTTTTCTGCGCAGGCAACCTCCAATGTAAAGCAAGCTTGCATGTCTTGCTTTAGGACAGCCTGAAGTTCACAGGCGGCAGCCAGCTGGCTTTTCTGGGGCCCTGCATTTCTAGACAAGGTCCACATGTCCACACAGACACAGTAATAGGGTTCTGCAGCGCCTCGTGATGCAAAAAGCACCCCTGGCCAGCTGTTTGGCACTCTGCACGTCAGACTGCGCAAGGCGACTCACCGACAAGGGCGGGGAAATGATTTGCCATCCACTGAAATATTGTTCCCCTTGCAAGGGAAACAAAAGGGGCGCACAGTTACTCATAA